TCTTTTTTCGAACACAAATGGTTGTTTCAAAGGCTAGCGATATGTGATATCTTGCACAGGATGAAAATATTATTGTTTTCAAGAAAATATATTGCGGGACAAGRTAGCACGGTGATACAGAAATRAAKAAACAACGCGGGCAAGATATAACCGGGGGTAACTACGAAATTAGAGGCTCCTTCACCACGCGATTAGCGCGACACCATGAAAATGGTTTATGTGACATCCTGCTAGTACTAGTATTACTAGTATTAGTACTAGTATTAGTATTAGTACTAGTAGTAGTATGAGGTCACATAGTACTAGTACTAGTAGTTACACCAGTCTCTTGGTTGTACTACCTCATCATCATCAAACTTTGATTGAACAAGCTGGTGTTAGTACTAGTAGTACTAGTAACAATATGGATATTGCCAAGAACAATCAGCAACATCAGCAACATCAGCACCACCACCTCCACCACCACCAGCAGCAGCCCATCAGCCACCAGCACCCAGGAGACAATCAACTTTGTTCTACTTCCATTCCTCTTTGTTGTTCCTTGGTTGGTTCCTTATTGTTGTTGTTTCATTGGTATCTACTAGGTACAGTTTATCTGACACTCAAAACAACACCAAGAAGAGTTGGCTGATTATTGTTTTATCCCTCCAGCCCACCAGCACCAGTAAAAGAACCTTTAAGCATCATAAGCATGAGAAGCAAATGAGAATAATTCTACTACTATTAGTAGCTAGTTCCAAGCCTTGTTGATGTGGTTCTACTATATCACACCAATATTGAATAGATACTTAAAAAAGAGCCATCAAAATAGTAGTGCTAGGACGAGGGATCAAACACTGCACACTTCTGTGGTTCCCCCAACCACCCTGACCACCAAGTACTTATGACCCAATGCTTCTGTACCATCACCCTTTTCCTGCTCCTCCAGGAGTCATGCTGCCTTTCATCAGAGCAACAACCATCAGAGGCATTGTTTTCCCAAGAAGCAATAGTGCTGGTTCTGACATTCTTCCTAGTAGTAGTAGTAGTGGCTCTTCCATATGCAGTTCACAAAAAAGATTAAATATAATTTTAAGCATTTATCTCCTCATCGCTTTCTTCCTTTCATTCCAGAATGAACAAGGTTTTTGTTCAGGCTACTAGTACTAGTAGTACTAGTAGATACTATCATTCTTTGGCTGCAGATCTTGTTCCTTGTCATCCGAGCTATCATCCTGCATTTTTTTCCTCTGAGAAGAATGCTTCAAGTTCTGTTATGAATTGTTGATTGCTCCCTTCCTAGTACAATCATGTCCCCCAGGACCCTGCTAGTAGTAGTAGTAGTAGTAGTAGTAGTAGTAGTAGTAGTAGTAGTAGTAGTAGTAGTAGTAGTAGTAACCCAGCAGAGGGGGTGGGTGCTGTTACTGCTGGGACAAAACTTTTAGTCCTAGTACAAATCAGGAGCACTGATTCAATCATTGTTGTTTCTTCTTGTTGCTTGCTACTCATATGGACAGCTTGATTGACATGCTAAAAGGGTCCTCCGCAAAAGACGCCCTGTATTATGCAAATGTACAGAAAGAGGAGGGAAGATAACCCCCTTTCACCAAAGAACTCTGTGGCTCTGATTACTAGTATCAGCTCTTGCTCATAGTAGGAGTAGTAAAAAAAATAGCTGGTAAACCAACTACCATTTGCTTGCTGCCAAAAACAGCTCCATTTTCCCACCAAAACTTTGTTGCATCTTCTTGTTACCATAGATTATGCAACATACTGCTGTATGGTATGGTACACAAGCAAACAAGCATCTAGTAGGGACTCTAAGCATGGGCAATGACAGGCTGAAAGCTATGTGCGAGAGAAGAATTCCTATTTCACTGAATGATTTGCACAAAGCTATTTTCAAGCTTGAGCCGGCCAACCCAGGTAAAGCTGTACGATATTCAAACTAGCACACAACAACCGTTAGATTCTTTTAAGCTTTTTACCTGACAGAGAGCAAAGACGATTCATCTACCCTCAATTTTTTCTATTGGCAAATACAGTAGTACAAGATGAATTCATCTACACTGCTTAGAATTCGTATGTATGGCATCATGATATCTTCAGCGAATGGTCTAGGCATGACTGCTGGCTGCTGGCTGCTACGCGATTGTGAGTTCGTAGAATCCAAATATTAAATAAAATTCTGAAGTACGAAGTAGCACTTCGTATGTTGCACATCGCTGGTCTTGCTCTTCGGTTGCCTTTGCTATAACTTGATCTTTTGGGGGGGATCGATGGTCAGGAAAAATATCGTCCCGATCACTACGGAACAACTCATTACGCCAATTGCCAGCGTCGCTATCCGGGCCGTCTCTTCGCCGGACAATTCTTTCCACGCCACCAACACGACCGATGCCAGGTAGCACAGGGTCCCAAAGACAAACTTCCCGTACGGCAGGGTGGCAAGGAAGGAGTGTTTCTGCATCCACACCGTTGCCTTCTCCGGATCGCTGCACGTCAGAACCCGGTAGAGGAGTGCACTCGTCAGGGCGGAGCAGGTGCAGGCGTGAACGGCAACGATGGCCAGGACGTAGGTGATCGTGTCGAGGAAGCTTCCGCTGCGCTCGAGTTCCCACGAGTTGGTTAGGCTAAAGCCGCCGACCAACGCACTGACGACACTCGTGTTCAGCTGATCGTCCCTGTGTTTGTCGTACTCCATCTCGTAGGTCGCCTTTGTTGCCGTCTCCGGCATTCCCTCCTTTCGTTTCACGTACAAAATGCCGTCCTCCATCGTCATCGCCACAATATTCTTCGAAACGGGAAGACTCTTCTCGAGTATTCGATGATAAATTTGTTTGTGTGTGATTCTTATGTGTGTACAGTACTTCCTAATTTAATAGGAGAAGAGTTTCACTTATTAGTTTTTGCTTCTCGCCGTGACAACATACATCTCTCGTGCAGTCCAAAGGAAGGTTCACCAAAATTCTGTCAGAAAGCGCGACGGGAATGCGCGTATCCTGTTTTCTGTTTTTGCACGTCAGCTCTCTCATTTATGTCGTGGTACGCTTAGTGCCGTACGTAGTGCGGTACTACGAGTTTCCTAACAATTGCAAAAAGTTTTGATTGGAAGTTTTAAATATTGATTTGAAGTCATGAACTTTTGCTCGTACATCATGTACCAGATTCTACTGAGTTTTTTTTAAATGACTGAATGACCGAACCGATTCTCCATGTGATTCAATTATGAATCCTGGCCTTTCAATCATGAAACCTGATAGACTTTCTACTGGGACATTTTGAAGTTCATAACTTCGAAATTTAGAACTTGAAATTATTACTTATTGCTCTTTGTCGGAGTCCGGTTTCAATTGTCACGAAACTCGTAGTGTGGAAAACGGAAAACACGTATTTTCTGTTTTCTACAGTACAACAGTACGAAAGGCAAGAAAAGGGCTTTACGCTTTTATTTCCACACCAACCGTACGGTACTAGGAGTACAATACTAGACTACAGTACGAGTACTACGTGCATCCTGCTAGTAAAACGACCGTATTCATCTCTTCAACCGTGACAGCGTCTCTGCATTGGAGACATCTTGCAGGCCTCCTGGCAGTATTGTTGTTGGCACAGCCGCTCCGCATTTTGTGCGATGCATTCTGCGTCGGTGTTGCTCCAACCCCGGCTCCCACCACTGCTCTGCACGCGAGGACCGGTTTGGGCCCGTCGCCGTGTGATTGGTTTGTTTTGTGAAACAATACAGTACACGGTGTTGGTTATCGAAAGCCCGCCGGCAGCATGAGCGACGGGGATCCGAACGGAGAAGGAGAACCTTCCTCCCCTCCCGTCCGGTGCTTCCTTCGGATCTCGATCGGCGGGGAGGTCCTGGAGGACGACGTCGTGGTGGAGCTGGACACGAGGCACCGCCCGAAGACGTGCCGGTCGTTCCTGGCGTTGTGCGGCGGCACCGGGGACGGAAGCGCCCCAAGGGTCAAGACGACCAGGGGTTCCCCTTTGCCGACCTACCGCGGGTGCGAGTTCCACCGGGTGGTCCCCGGCCTCTGCGTCCAGGCCGGCGACTGGGAGCGCTTCGACGGGACGGGGGGCTCCAGCCCGCTCTACGGCAGGAACTGGGCCGACGAGGGAAGCGCCATTGCAACCAACCAGCCCGGCTTTCTCCGCCACGACAAGGAGGGAATCCTGAGCATGGCCAACACCGGAAAGCCGGGCACCAACGGGTCGCAGTTCTTTCTGACCCTCAAGCCGGCCCCCCACCTGGACGGGGGGCACGCCGCCTTTGGGAGGGTGGTGGCGGGGACCGAGTCCCTGCGGAAAATCGCGAGCGTCGAGCGCGGGGAGAGAGACAAGCCCGTCTCCCTCCAGCGCGTCGTCATCGAGGACTGCGGGCGCCTCTTCGAGAGCGGAGGGGGCGAGCTTGGGGGGAAAAGAGACCGCAAGAAGAAGAAAAAGAAGAAAGAGTCGAAGCAGAGGGACCGGAAGAGGCGCCGGGGGGGCTGCAGGGGCGACAGCGACGAAAACAGCAGCGACGAGGATCGACGGCGAACGCACTCCCGAAAGAGCCGAAAGAAAAAGCGACGCCGGCGTGGTTACGAAAGCGACGACTCGAGCGATTGCGATGGATCGGTTGTCGGCTCTTCCTCCAGCGATAGCGATCGCGGTGGTCGCCGGAAACGGTCAGCGGATAAAAAATGCAAAAGAAAAGAGCACAAACAGCGCCATTCAAAACACGGCAAGAGAAGGTCGTCGTCGAGACACACCTGACAAACAACGCGGTAGCCAATGTGCTAGCACGGAGCGGTTCGCTCCCCCACCCGCCGGACGAGCGCTCCACGCACCGGCTGGAAAACGAAGGGCACACGCACTCTGGCATCCTACAAAGTGGGGCCCGCCATCGAACTATAGTGCATTACAATATGAGCGAACAACACAATGTCGTAATAGTCTCCCCTAAGTAATTAGCGCGCCGGTCTCGTTGCTGCCTTTTTGCGTCAAATGCTGTACAGGAGGCCCGGCGCGGACTTGTCCTCGAGCGAGGCAAGAATGGGCTCGTTGCACAATTTCTCTCCCTTCTCCGAGGGATTCATGTGTTCTTCCAGCTCTGCCGCTTTTGTTCCTAGCCGCTTGGTTTCGGACTCTCGCCTCCGAGACACCGCGACCGCTAGCTCTTCGATGCGCTGTTCCCGGAGTTCCCCTTGATCGTCTCCTGCCGCATTGTCACCCTTTTCAAACTCGAATTCGATAAGTAGCCGTATGCGATTCTTGAGCGATTCGTTTTCCGTTTCCAACTCATTTCTGCGGACTTCTGTCATCTGTAGAGATCGTCGCTCGGATTCTAGTTGCTCTGTCAGATTTCTGACCCGAATCTCTGTTTCGCTGTCGACGGCTTGCGCCGATCGGAGATTGGCCTGTAGCTTCTCGATAACATCATTACCGAGCGCTTCTTCGCGTTCTTGGGATTCCTTGTAATTTTTCTTCAAATCCGCCAAGTTATCCATTGCAGACTCAAGCTTCTCCGACAAGGCTTCCTTTTGCTCTTCCATCTGGGAGATCCGGCGACGATTCTTGTCACCTTCCTGCGTCGCACAATCTAAATCGTCTTTTAGTCCAGCATTTGTCACATTCAAATCCTTGATCACGTTGCTTGCTTCCTCGAGCTCTCGTTGAAGTAAATCAACTCGATTTGTAGCGTCGGTCAAGGTCCTAATCAACTCTTGTTTTTCGTCACTGGCGCTCTCTAGCTGTAACTGCCACTTGTCGTTCAGTTCAGTAAGTTTTGACACATTTTGAAGCTGGCGATTCAGCTGATTTTTACTCGACTGTAGTTCCTTAGATTTTCGTTCGTCTTCAATGAACAAACGTCGAGCTTCAGTGGTACTTGTTTCGTCTCCTCTTTTGATTTCTCCACCAAGAGACTCCAGATATTCCATCCTTTTCTTTGCACTGGCAAGTTGTTTTTCCAGATCTCTTCTTTTATTTTCTGAATCCTCAAGCGCTTCCAATCGTTGAATTTCAAGAGCATGCATCGCGATGACACTCAATTCAATCTCTTCGATGTCATCATCTTTTGCAAAAAGTTCGCTCTCTAGCTCAGAAAGTTGAAGTGAGGCTTCTGCAAGGCGCCCACCTTGCTTTTCGATTTGCTCCTCGTATTTCTGGATGGAGTCTTGCAGCTTCAATTTTTCTTCTTCAAGTCGATCAATTTGCACCACGCCCTGTTCCAATGCTCTTTGCATTTCTGTCAGTTGTCTATTGGCGTAATCCTCGATGTACTGACGTTTTGCATTCAATGTATCAATCTCTTCGTCACGGCCAAAAAGTTCTTTTTCAAGTTCATACAATTGCTCAGCCGCTTGTTGTAGTCTTCTATCCTTGTTTGACAACTCGTTTTGTAGATTTGTAATGCAGATGCCTTTCTCTTCGATTTGACGTTGAAAGTCAACATTCTCGTTCTCGCTCGTTTTCGATATTCCGCGGCCAACAAGTTCCTTTTCTAGATCTGACAATTGTGTCGACGCTTGTTCAAGTCTATTCTGCTTACCTGAAAGTTCTTTTTGGGTCGCTTCCAGTTTATCGCTAATTTCTTGGACAAGTTTTTCCAGCACTGACTCACGATCTTTCGATTCATCAAGTTCTTTGCTAGTATCGCGAAGCTTCAACTCGACTGCTTTTCTTTCCTCTAGTGCGCTGTTCCGTTCATTCAATAGACTTTCAATGGCTACTTTCGAATCGTTTTCAGGGCTTAGAATCTTGCGTTCTAGACCATCCTTGTCATTTGATTCTTCCTTCATCTCGGTCGGTCTCTCATAAGATGACTGTTCTGATCTCCCTCTCGTAACGTGTGCTTGCAATGCCGTTTCGTTTTTTGTACTTTCGATCAGTTCCGTCAGCCTTTTTTCCTCACTTACGTGTTGTTCCAATGAGGAACGATAGCTGGTAACTTCTGAATTAAGTTTGTCCACCTCATCGCGGGATTCATTGACTTGCTGCATGGCATTCTGAAGCTGAACTTCAAGCTGTACTTTGACATTGTTCACCGTCTCGAGTGATTTCGCCAACTGGATATTTTTTTCTTCGAGCTTTCCCAGTGCTCCCTTCTCTTCATCTTTTACATTTGATTCCAGGTTCAAAGCTTCATCCTCTTCATTCGAACGAGCAGATATGGCCTTCTCCGACACAAGACTTCTCAATTTCAAAATTTCCGAGGTAGACTCCTCGAGAGCGGTTTCAAACGTCTCTTTTTCCATTCTAGAGTCAATTAATTCTTGTTTTAATTTCTTGCATTCCGTGTTCAAAATCTTCAACTCTTTTTCGTAATTGACAACACAGTTCGGGGCCTCTTCAGGAATAGATCCAGATAGAGTTTGTCCTATCATTACAGGATTCGATTGCGTAGGCTTAATACCGTCAAACAATTGGTCAGGTTGCCGCGTAGATGTGTTTGTTGGCAACCCTGTTATCGATGTTTCTTCACTTAGCGATCTTGGGCTAATGTCAGGAGCTATTGCAATACGGACATCGTCCCTCTTGTGTTCATTTCGACGAAAACTTGTAGTTGAAGATGAATCACCGAGCGCACGAAATCTGTGCGTGCTGAAAGAGGCTGTAGCAGATACTGCTCTTGACCTTCGTCTTTCTTTGCGTAATTTAAGTTTCGCCATTTCTTCGTCGAGCTTCAAGTGTAGGTTATGAACGACTTCGTTCTTATTATTTGACCTTGCGAACAATTTCTCGGATGAATCGACATCTCTCTTGCGTCTATCTTGTTCAGAATCCACATGGTTGTTATCCTCTTTCAAAGTATCGTAACTCTTCTTCAAACTAGCGACCTCACTGACACCTTCCGTATCGATATCGTTTACTTGATCTTTCTCGTTACCATTGGTATTGACTTGAACTGAAATGTCTTCATTCTCTGCATTCTCTCTTGTTGAAGAGGCGGATTTAGATGCATCTATAGAGGCTTGTAAGGCACGAACACGATCCTCAGCGATCGCAGCTTGGCTTTTTGCCTCTTTCGATTCTTCGGTCATGTCCTTCAGTTGTTGTCGCAAGGCACGTTCTACCTCTTCTCGGGATTCTCTATCTCTTTCCAAAGTCCTGATTTGTTCAAGCAAACCATTGTCAAACCCGTTGTTGTGATCACGAAAATTATCTTCTGCTGATTGTTTAGCACTGTCCTCGTTAACGATCGGGTTGTCGGGGGGGGGATGGCTAGATTCCTTGCTTTTGCCATCATCCATTTTCTTCCCACTTATCTTGGATTGCCGCCGCTCTCTTTGCTGAAAAGTGCGAAGTTGATTTTCCAAAACAGAGATTTGATCCCGAAGAGAAGTGCGCGAAGTTTCTAGCTCTGTCTGTGCTTCCAACAGTTGTAGTCGAAGAATGTCCCTGTCAAGTTGCACTTCAGTAAGTTCCCGCTGCATGTTTTCTTTCTCGAGAAGCATACTGCGTGTAGAACTCGCTCTCATGGAGTTGTTTCCTACCTTTCCTTCGTCCCATAAAGCTGACGTAGGTGCTGAAGATTCTGGTTCTAATGAGTTCGGCTTTTCTACATCTTCCAACACCTCATCATCACCTTCATTGTCGCTATGCCTTTCGGTTTTGCTCTCCTTAGTCGGAGACACCCTAGAATCTGTTGTTGGTGGTTCAGTGTTGCTAGTGTCAAGTTTTTCAGACTGGTGCCCAGAGGACACTATAACATCGCTAGCACTCGAAATACTAGGATTTCGCACGCGACGGAGTCGACGAGTACTCAGTTTCTTCGTTATCCCAGCCGTCGGTGACTTACTTTTGGTCCCCGGTCGTGTACCGTTGTTACTTTTGGTTGCCTGTCTTGATTCCGTTGAAGGAGCCATTTCTGCTGGCGTTTCGGAAGGAGGTACAAGGCGGTTGATGTGGCGGCGATAGCTTTTTTGTTTCGCTGTCTCTAAGGCAGGCGCAACGGTTCTCTCCTTTTTAATATTTGCATTAGTGTCTGTCTTCTTCGTCGAAGAGGCGAAACGTTTCATATAGGTACTCATGGTAGACGGTGAATATTCAATGTGAATATCCAGATGGAGCAAAACGTGTCTTGAATTCTAAACTCAGCGACAAATACTAGTAGCGGTCCCCTACCACTTCAAAGTTCTCGAACGTGGTCCCAAAAGTATGTTCTATTTCGTGATGAAAGATATCTTATTTTTTCAAAGTACAACCGAGATAGATCATATCAACGTTCCACTTATCTTGACCACGATTCTCCTTTCGAAATGCCTCTCACTATCGAAATGCCTCTTACAAAAAGGTATTTCCCGTCTTCTAGAGGTGGAATTTCTCTTTCGTAGTTCTTGCCGCTTGATGCCTTTGAGAGATTAAAGTAGTACTGTAATTGCGCATTCAGTGGCCTCAGATCTAGTTTTGTTGAAAGGATAAGCTTCCCGAAATTTTATTTTTGTTTTTAAAAGTCGTTACAAGAGAACACGGTCGCGCAGAGGAATACAGTAACTGAATTTGTTCTCAGGAGTTTTTCCTACGCCATCGGAACGTTCAACTACGTAGAAGAAGTACCTGAAAAATCGCCGTAGCGCCGCCGACTCAAAAAATCGGATACTATTCTTTGCAATTAGCAACGACTCTTTTTTAATACCAAGTACGAAGTAGTATCATTTAACGTCGCCTCATTTTGAATCCAGCGCACGATTTTCATTGGGCGATTCCCGTAGGGTGGGATGGTACTGTTGAAGATCCTAACAACCAGTTTGCAAGGAAGTTTGCTACTTTGGATAACATGATGTTTCTGGATGACAGGAAGAGGAAGCTGGATATCTTCAAGCTTCAAAAACATGGGCTCACAAAAAATTGCATTGAAAACAAAGATGCATTCTTTTCTATCAGTTGCTGCTACCACCAATTGCTCCTGACGATTCAACAATGGAAGCTCCTCAGCGGTATCAGATTGAACCTGAGAAGAAGCATACTTAGTAGTAGTATTACAATACTAAGGTTATGAGATATACCAATGTCTACATCTCTGATGCCAATGAAGGGGAAGGGCACCAAATCAGACCAGTTACACTTCCTGAAGCAGTTCATTTTGATGATGGCATACTTTTTATCAATGGCGCTTGTGAAGGAGCCAGGGAAAACATCAAATAGATGGATTGCAAAAGATCTTTCATTCAATGAGGACATTGCAAACACTATGACTTGCACAAGGTGACATGAAAGTAAAAGGAACTTGAAGCTGTGCAAAAACAATTTGGAGAGAACCTATCACGGATCCCCCAACAGTGGTAATCTAGCTTACAAGAACAAGTTTGACTACATACAGGAGACTACTGTGAACAATACGAATTATTTCACTGAATGGGCTGGCTTGGACCTATGTATTGACAAGATGAGTAGGCCATATCAAGGCTTTGGCAGTCGGCTTGTTAACTATCGTCTGAAAGGAAAGATGATTACAAGAGGCGGATAGACCGTCCTTATGTCGCCTGATGTTGATTGCATGAGCCTGAGAGCATGGAAACATTGATATCATGGATGGGAATTTAGCAATGATAGTCATTTGTGCACTGGGCCTGCTGAAGTTCAACACATTGTTGAAAATTTGTTCTTGATAACATTGGATTGGGCAAGCTGTGGAAGTCCCTGCCCCATATAACAGTCAAAAATTTCTTTCTATCAGATTCCATCTTGGATTGGATTGGTGAGCAAGGCTTGGGTATGATGGGAACAATTGCTAAGAATCAGTCACCTGCAAAGGTTCCTGGAAAGTACTTTCATAAGAAGAATGCCACTAGGGATTCCATTGGGAAATATAGACCAAAGATGCTATGTCTTGCTAAGCCTGTCACTGCTGTGAAGACTCTACCAGCTAATCCTGACAAAGGAACCAAAGACTACAGACAGGTGCATTGTTCATTCCAGAGCACTGGAGCTTGCAATTTAGGATCAGTGAACTCTTATTTCATCTTCCTCTCTTTACATTCATCAGAAGGAAAGGGGAAGGGGACAGATTAGCAATGATGGGTCATTGAAATGAATGAGTCTTGCAAGGTTTATCTTTAAACTTATGGGAAACTAGACCATATCCATGCATACCAACATCAGTTACAAATTGTGGAAATACTACCATGCTGCAATTAATCATGAAAAAAAGCCTTCACCATTGCTACAGCATACAATATCTGCAAAGAGTGTACTGATGGAACCCTTGGTGATAAATGGAAGGCAACCAACGTGATGAGCTATTGTGAGTTTTGTAAGAGGCTTCCTTTGCAGATGACAAAATACAATCCAGTGGATTAGGCCTATGACTGTGATTGTAGACTGTGGCAGTACACGCAAGAAAAACAAAGGATTAGAAGTGGAAGAGCAACTAGAAGAAAAGCATTTAAGACTTTCCTTAGGAATGGTAAGTTGCTTGGATATCATAATTTTCAGACCATTGCAGAGAACCAGGTCAATGGAAGATTTTGTTTCACTCAGACTGAGTATAAAAGACATTTGGTTGCAACAGCACCAACCAAGTCAAGGAGCCAAAATATTGTTTTACAAGTGTGGTAGTAATACTTACAGCTTGTGCAAGCTATGTGGAGTCCCACTTTGCAGCAGCAATGCTCATTCAAAGAAGAGGGTTTTGAATGGAGATCCAACCCGCAAGTTCTGTCACAGCAACTACCACAATAATGAATGGTTTGGGCTAGGAAGGAGCAACTAGTACTGCTCTAGAGTAAGAAATGACAAAAGACTGAAAGACAGGAGAAATTGGAAGCCTCCAAGCAATGAAGAGTTAAAGTTAATACTGAGTACATGAACTTCTCCTTATTGGACATCACGGATGAGGATGAGGATGACACTAGCGTTAGTGATGTTGACATTGATGTTGTTGTTTCTCCAAGTAGACTGGTGCAACTGTAAATAGCAACCTAACTGTAACAACTGCTGATACAACCACAACGAGTGGTGATTGCCAAGTGATTGGATCAATGGAACAAGCAGTCTAGGAAGAAAAGAAATGAGAATACTGCTAACAAGTTAAACATGGATAGTATGCTCATTAGTTTGCTTGTCTGTTTGCTTATTCAGTTGCTTTTTTGGTTGCTTCTTTGGTAGCATTGCTGGTTGCATTGCCAGTTGCTTCCCTGTTGCTTTGCCAGTTGCATTTTTGATTCCTCGTTATTTGGTTACTGGTTCTCACAATTCATCTCCTCATAGTCATTGGAATCAAAGGAAAAGCTTTGATCCATGTAGCAAGGATGTCCCCTCTCATCATTGGAAAATCCTTTGGCACATTGAAGAGCTGTCGGCGTATCCTAGATCTACATCCTTATGGAGGTCTTCAATGACGAAGTCCGGTGTTTTGAGTTGCTCAGTTTGCTTCTTTTGCTGTTGCTGCTTGCTTTTTTCAGTATCCTCCATTTTTAGCAGGGGTACTCTCCCTCACAGGATGTATTGTTCTTGATTGATTTGAGGAGAAAGAAATGGGATTGACACAATGCTTCCATCACACTTCCTTTTTTAAAGAGAACAAATGTAGCAAGGAGGTGTCTTGCCGGATTATGAGTTAACATGATTAGTGGCCAAATTCAGTGTGCAGTGGGTCTGTTGAGGTGCAAAGTGTCTGTTGTGCTTTGAGTCAAAGTAGTCTTCATACGGTCATTAGATGGCCCAAAATCAATTCACTGTACAAAACACATGTAGGACATTAACTAAGGGTCAACTCACTCTAGTAACAGCTATATCTTGGTCCCAGACGGATGAAAAACAACATTAAGCACATGGTTAGAAAGAGAATTATGAGTGCTTTCTAACAGTATGGGGGAGTTGGGGGGTCCTAGTGGTATTTATTGATATTCATGTATCATGGATATTGAGCATTGCTAATGTACAAATGACATGGCTGGAATCACTCCACCAATGCTATACGATAGAATTGCTACTTTTGATAGACACACAGACCAAAAATTTAGCAATTATATTACGCTTGAATGGCCAAAATTTGCCATTCAAACATAATAAATCTATGAGGGAACTCATGATTAAAAATTTGAGTCCATTAAAAGACTCAATAGAAAGCACACCAGAATGTTAAGACTACTTGACAAAATTAAGACTCAGCTATCCTAAACAAGAACAAAGAGAGGTCCCTCTTTTAACAATGCTGGTCAGTGCTCTTAGTCAGTACATTCTATTTCCTTTCTCTGTTGAACCAAAGAGAGCAGCAGGAGGAGGCTGGGTTGCTACAGACAGCTCTCCAACACTGTGCAATCCCCCACACTAAGAAGGAGGCTACCGGCTAGCACAAAGAGGGTGTTCATTGTTTCCCAATCCCCCACTATTTTTGTTAAGATGGCAAAAGCTAGCACTGGCGCTGGCCGCAAGGCTGGTACTGCAAACTACTCCCACAATGAGTTACATAATCTCATGAGTATGATACTTGAGAGGCTTCCCATTAGCACAGATGACTGGCATCTCAATGTGTTTGAGCACACCAAAAATTGGCCCTTTTTTAGAAGCCAGCAATCCGTCAGGACCAAGTACTCATCTGTTAAGAGGATTAAGAGCTCCACAGGAAACCCAATTATGCCAGACTATCTTAAGATGGCAAGCAAGGCCCATATCTTGATTGGTCAGAAGGCAAATCTTGGTACTGGAGAGGAGGACTTTGATCTGGACCAAGGCTTCATTAAGAGTGAGTTGCATTGGTGTTTATTAGCTAATGCAGTGGATAGCATGCCAGGCCCTCCTTGAAGGGTATACATGAAAACCGAAGAGATGCAGCTTGCGGCTTGTAAATTCCAGCTATAGTTCATTATTTGAGTATGGGTAATGTTTGCAAGCAAACCTCGTAAGAGTACCGACTAAACCAAGCCTAACAAAAGCAACCATTGCTTTTCTTTCCACCATGGTGGGGGTCCCTGGTGCTGTTGTGAGTGGATTGATTGTTGTGTCGATTGTTGCTTTGTATTGATTGCATCAATTGGAGATTGCTGTATCGTAACAATTGCCGTATCACATCAATTGATACATTGTTGTATTGTAGATGGAAGATGTCTATTCCTCTAATGGAATACATAAGAAAAGTTGTAATTCGCAGTACCATCTTTGCATTGTTCGTCTTTAAAGAAAATCGCAGCATCGTTGAGGGCGCGAATCATTTCGCATACCATGAAGCTTTCTCTCTTCGCATATTTTCGCTCCCATACCTCTTTTTCTATATTCGCATTATTCCCGATCATTTTTTTTTGGTGGTATATTTCGTAATCGGCGAGATTATCTGGTGGAACCTTTAGTAGGGGGGCCTCACACGAAATAAAATCCTTTCGTAATTTTCTTTTCCCAAAGACCCACCAGTCGTATAAAGACTCCGATCCGATGTAATAAGTCTGGCAATAATGAATGACGTGTGGGCGCTGACCTTTAGGGAAATTCTTACAAATGTTTGTTTCGTTGACCTTGTCTATCAATTTCCAACCTTCCATTTCAGAAAAAACGTCAGACAACATGAACGAGTTTGCTATTGTATGACGTAGCCCTAGATGTGCAACTGCAAAGTTATAGGCAAACATTCTTTTGGGTGAAAAGAAGGGCAGACCAGAGAAGTAGTGAATAGAAACATTTTGCAAAGCACGAAAATTAGAACAGTCCCTTTTAGTGTCATGCCATTTTCAGAGTCTTCTCAAAACTGGATCGCAACGCATAGCAGCGGACTTACTCTGCCAACAAGTGTGGGTACTTGTCATGAACTTTTGGCGCAATATCCGCCCATGTATTTGAAATTGCCCACATGTCCTTCGCTGTAGCTACAAGAGCAAAATATAGGCGACGAAAATAGGTTCGAAAGAAGGTGAGTAAAAGTGAGAGATTCATTCTACCCAAGACCAGTGAGTGCAAAGAAATAATCTTACCAATATAGGGCTGAGGGATATTATGAAGAGGGAAAGAAAGGGTGCATAGAGTGAGCTAACTGTGTCATGTAAAATAGAAAAGATGTCTCCGCTTAAAGTATTGTGCAGAGTGCTTTCTCTCCCGAAAAGCTTCTGCGTATGCGGTTCTACTCGAAATTTTCACCTATTTTCTAAGAAACACTTCGCTTTAGCAATGAGTATAACCTCATGTTCACTTACTGGGCCCATTCCAGAGTAATATTGACGAGCTTCCTCGAAAGTCATGTTGGACACGGGTGTAGGAAGTCGTCCGTCCTGAAATACGTATTCATGGTCAATCTTTTTGATCTTTTTCCCTCCCTTCAACCATTGTATACCGTATCCATAAGCTTGCGCGAAGGGAGAACCGTGTCCCACCTTCAATTTGCGTTTCTTCTTCAATTTCCATAACTCGGAAGAATTTGTAAAATCATTCGTGAAGGGTCGCAACATGATTTGATCGGGGTCCATCAGTATAATGATCGAATCATCATGCAGCTTGTGATTGTGAGGATATCCCAGTGTGTGCTCCATCCAATGTCGAACACCATAGGGTTTGTTGAAATATTTGTATGGCTTCTTGCCGACTTTGGGAACTCGGGAAAAGTCTGGTGTAAAATGCAGATGGTGTTTTCCAGGATTCATTGATTCAATCTCAGCCTCGAAAACCTCTTGAAACTTCACTTCATCATTGGCACTGCAACCAGATGCTATGCGTGTAACGTGACCTTCTTGGCCCGAACGTTTCACGTGATGAAAGAAGACGTAAGATTGCCAATCTTGATAAATTGAGCATCCAGTAGAAAAAATTGTATGGTAGGGGCTGGAGTGAGTCAAAAAATAATTTTCTTTCTCGTTGGTATCTTTGGAATCTTTTTTGGCGTCGACCTGAACCTTTTCTTCGGGTTTGCGATCCGCCGAGGGACTTCCTTCGTCAGCATTGATTTTGACCTTTTTCTTGGCATTCCAATTCACAGCTGATCCTACGCCAGCATCGATTTCGACCTGTTTATTGACATCCCAATTAATAGCTGATCGCATGTCCATTTTGGACGGGTTTTCCATTTGCATCAAAGCAGTATGGGGGGACACATGATGAACTGTGTCTTCCAAGGTCAGCGGCACAAGGAACAAGGAAAAGGTGACGATTATTACCGCCCAAAGGAAAGCTAGCAACAGGCACCTTTCGGAATGCAGCTGCGAAGCTAGTCGCCTTGACTTTCTTGCATTGCTGCTAGAAGTACCCGCCCGACTGTAATTTGATTTCCTCATTTACACCAGACAGAGAAGATTAGGCCCGCGACTTGGTTTCACTGAAAGAGACGAAGACCGTAACGAAAATAATGATGAGGAAACGCACCGATGCTAAAAATGCATCCGTTATTTTTTCATCTTTCGACGGTCGTAAGGTTCGTACGGTAGTACCCGTACTTCCTACGTTCGCACGAACAGGGGTCATGACTCATGACCCCTACGGTACGTACAGTAAGTACGGTACGGTACCCTAACTTGTCGCTCCCGAATAACGTTCCGGCACCCACCGTGCCGGTGGTAGTGTACGGTATTGCAGTTATTGTAGAAGTACCGGTACGTACCGGTACGTACCGTACGTATCTGACGACGAAGTTGATGCAATTTACGCCATACGGTACGTACGTACTGTTCTATGTACCATACGTTGGGTACGAGTACTTCGTACCAGTAAACAATAAACGGTTGATGTTTCCAGGAATCATCCTAAAACGGGACTGACCAGAATGAAACTTTTATGCTAATAGGGTCACAAATTTAAAATTTAGTTTGACCCGACACATGATTGAGTGAAAGGACCAACACAGTTCGTAATAGTACGTAGTACTCGTACCATACGTTCGATTGGACGTACTCGTAAAGAACATCATACCGACCGTGTCTTCACCCACCGGATCCGTGAAGGTTGACAGATGTCTTCTACGAGGAAGTACGTACGGTGCGTACTGGAACTGTCCGCTGGTCAGAAGTTCTCAAAGGAAAATGCAAAAAACAATTAGCAGCTGAGTTCGTATCGTACCGAACGAGATCATCAGCACAGATTTCTGGACCAAGCCCAACTGGAGTCAATTTCTGAAGATACAACGAGGCTGCTTACGATACTGTTTTTCACTTAAGAATGGTCCTCCTCCTCCAAGCCCTCGAAAAGAAAGAAATACGCACGGAGATTCTAAGCCATCTGACACTGTCAGAGATCCAGGAATGCTTTCGGAGCGTGAGTCGAGAAGCCCAATCAATTTGCGATGGGTACAAGTCATTTGTGGTAGAATGGCTGTCCGCGAATCCCAAAACAGACAGCCGCGAGGTTCTCACTATTGGTCTTCAATCGGAAATAGGCAAGCTGTTGAACGGAAAAATTGGACGAACTGCCGGAACGAAACGATCTTACAAGGCAGGTCGCATTCCGATCGAATTGGAAGTTGCAAATTGGATTTCGGGAGAAAGCGACACACTGAGCTTCAAACTTTGCAACCTCCACGCCTTCTTTCGTCGTTCCGTCAATCGCAAAGAACATTCGGTGCCGCCTGCATTGAAGAACTACACGTCAACATCTATGCCTTTGGAATCACATCTAAGAATACTTGATAACATGCTATTGGTCGCGCGATGGTTCGCTTTTCTTGTCGAAGGAGTAGTTACGAGACCCGACTTTGAAGATGATATACTAGCTCTCCAACGTCTACCGGTAGATGACCCTGCCGTTAAAGAATTGGATTCTCGTATATTTGATTATTGGAGAGAAAAGCCATTTCGATGTTCAAGATCTCCAGAAAAATTTGGCACTGCATTAGACTACATTTTCAAGTACATCAAGATGAACGGAGATATTGACCAAAGGTCAAGAGATGTGGCTACTTTAGATAAGCTATGGAAAGCTGATGGTTACCGAGGGACGAACATGATTAGGAATTGTTTCTATTGTATGAAAACTTGGAAAGAAGAGCATGTTCGAGGTGGCTTTTGGGTTACAGATACTTACAAAACAGGATCTGTAATGGTATATCTATCAGATATCGAAAATCCAGAATCCTTCTCAACCGTATATCTCGTTAAAGGCGATACACAGAGTATTGGAGAAGTGTTGGGGTGCAGTGGCGGAGTTCCTCGGTTTTGCAAAACGACAATTTTGCCTCTATATGATTTTTGGGTTTTCAATGGAGTTTATGACGTTGGAAGATACATAGGACCAAATTCCAAGAACGATGAGTTCACAAAAAAGCTACAGGCTCATGTGCAACAAGCGATTTCGTCTCGCTCTGTCAGTTGGAGGGGTCCTTCTGCCGAGAAAGGATTGTGGGATTTTCAAAACAATGTACCAGCTATGCCCACAATAATTGTCGACGAGAACCCCTACGTCGTAGTAGATTGGCACGACGGAATAAACCATGCTTATCATCAAGAAAATAACGCAAGATCTTCATCGACGTTCAGCGTAAAAGATATGTCACTGGCACGCCAAATTGCCAAAATGGCGGTAGAGTTGGGCGAAACCAGAAAGATAAACGAAAATGAAGAGGTTGACCATCGATACGAATTTTCATTACTAGCAGTACGGCGATTGGGTTATTCTTATTACGAGAACCCGAACGGTTTAGGGTCTATGTTTGATTGTCGTGTGGGTAAGGTATTATATCCTTTTCGTTTTGATGTGGATCACTGGAATAAAGCAAAAGTTCCAACGTATGCTCTCAATGACGTGCTCAAGGGAATATTAATATCGATGAAGAAAGCAGCTCCACTTCCCTTAGTGTCTTCGATCTTGGCAGATGATCGTGCTATTCTTGAACCGCTGGATCAAATTCTAGTCAAGACCTTTGCAGAAGAAGGTATATATGCTCCCATTGTTGCATATGAAAAAAAAGGAATTCGAGTCGATACTCGTTGGACAAGAGTATAATTTTCAAAAACTCAATTGTTCGAAAGTTCCTCACGATGTCATGGTGACAAGGACGAAAAGGCGTTCAAATTGTTTTTGTTGAGTTTTGTAAATAGTAAGAGTCTTATTGATGTCGCCTCATCTCTGTTTTAATGAGAATTCAGCTCCAACGGCGTCAGTCTGAATGGTTCTTTATTTTCGTGACCCTTCTTTTCTCCGAGAAGTAATTGTGGTGAACCTGTACTAATTGTCATCCCAAACAGTGATTGAATTATCAATAAAATGATGACTTAAATGCTATGTGCAGATGCATGTGGGGCAACTAACTAACCGCACTTGTCTGTGAAAGGCACCAACAATAATTTAATGCTTCGATTTACCAGCAGTTTATTGAAACTTGATGTTCAAAAATTTAATAACTAGTATTCATTAGATAGTTCTAGTATCTACAGATTAAAGGAAAGTTTTGATATCAATTCTTCTTGTTCCAATAATTTTAATAAAGAGTCCATGGATTTTTGATTTTTGTTTGTGATGGACTATCAACTAGTACTGATTTCATATCTAGTAGTACTGTTGCTACTGGTGGTGCTACTATACTAACTAGTATCACATTACTAATAACAAGGAAAAGCCAGGTATAACAAGAAGAAGAACAAGAACCATAACAACAAGAGTACTAGCTACTACTAGTACTACCACTAGTACTACTAGAATGCATCTTCTTCTTGCTTCTTGTTCTTGTTCTTCAGGAATCATTTACTAGTACTAGTATTGTAGAGTGAGTGGTGCTGCTGGTGCTGATTAGCCTGGCCATCTTGTTCTAGTCGTACTACATCACATACTAGTAGATTTTTGGTAAAACAAATGATTGCAGACCTCCTTGTCCTCATTTTGCATGTGCTGCAAAACTATCAAGGAAATTTTAGTAGCTCATAGAAGGTTAAAGTTCTATTTTGGCACAAATTAATAATTCTAATAAATAACAATGGTGTATCTGGAAAGGTTCCCTAAACAAGTGAGACTACTACTAGTAGTAGTGATATCAAGCTCAGAAATGTTGGACAAAAGCTCTGAAATTGATGCTTGATCAAAGTCAGATTTCATTTCTAATGTGTTATTTGTTAGCATTTTCACTGTGCTTTTGAACTGATCCATTGATTGAGGTTTTTCTTTATACTGTACATTTGTAATAGTTTGCCATACTACAGGAGTGTGACACTTAATTCCCAGTGGGTACAGGCAGCTTAGTGATGATAGATTGGTGGCACTGGAGTTTTACTAGGCAAAGAATTTGATTAGTGAAATATTCACCAGGAGAGATGAGGCTTTCACTCTCCTATTCCTTCCTCACAATGAATTTCATCTTTGGAAGAACAATATTGACATAAAAATGCTGGGCAAGGACATTCCAAAAATTACAACAAAGAGATACTGTGATTCATCCAGTGGAAAAACGGAAGGGCAGCATAAGCAAGGAAGAAAACTATCTATTTGGGCTAAAACACTATGCAGTTGCCCAGAAACAGGAAAGGACTTTGAAAATCAACTCAAGGAAAGGTTTCTACTTGAAGATGCTTTGCAGGCATATCAGTGGGAAATCCTAATGGCAGCAATGGAGGATTGTTGGATGATGACAACAACAACAACAACAACAACAACAAGGATGATGATGATGATGATGATGATGAATTCATTTGTCCTTCTCTTTGAGAAAAGTTGGACCTTCCTTTTGAAGAAGTCTAGAATGTGTGGTGGTAAAGATGGTTTTCCCTAGTACTGGTAGCAGTAATATCATAGTGTAGTAACCATGTTCCATTTTTTATGGTTTTTGTTGCAGAAAATTTTTAAATTTTTTTTTTCAGTCATACCACCCTAGAGATTCTGAAACCAAACTATTTATTCCAGTCACAACACCTTCAAGATTTCGAAACCCAAACTATTTATTCCAGTAGTTGCACAACTTGAGAATTCAAAACCAAACTATTCATTCCAGTCATGGCACCCTGGAATTAACAAACCTGAGCCAAAAATAAAAACAACAAGCAAGCTCAGGATTCTGTTGTAATGAAATTTTTCCAGTGACCACATATAGAAAATTGAAAATTAAAAAAATAAATTATGAAATGAAGGTAGTGAGTTGGGTTGGGAATCCATCCTACCATGTTATTTTCACTAACAAAATGGTGGTACAGACAGGTACTATGTAATATGAAAACATAAAACATTCTTGAGGTGGGTCCTCAGGAAACAACAGTTATTGGACAAAGATGATCAAAAGGTCTAAAAATCTACTTTAGATTTTTTAGTTGAAGGGGAATCAGTAAAGATAGGGTCCCAATGGACAATTTTTAGGTGCTGCTTGTCTATTTTTCAGAAGGGAATTTTGAATCTCAACTGAAGAAATGGTGGTGACTACTAAGACTGAACAAGAAGGGCGCTTTTCCAGCAGTACTAGCTAGTACTAAGAAGATTTTCATTCTTCTTCTTTTGCATTCTTGGATTCCAGACTAGATTTAGATCCTCTGTCAAGGGTGCATTGAGGGTTGGTAGTCAGTCAAAAAATTTGGTCTACATACTACGGTAGTCTATTTTTTGTCTTTCTGTCTGTCTGTATGTCTGTCTGTCTGTCTGTCTGTCAATAGGTTGATCGTCTAGATTAATGGGAATAACCCATCATGTTGATTCTTGACTCAAAAGTCAGTCAGAGGAGTTCGAATCCCAGTTGAAGTGGACGCGCTGTGCACGAAGGTATCCAAATATCAAAAACTACGAGTATCCGAATCAAAAGGAGAAGGTCGACTTCTTAGTTACCGGTACTGCGGTATGCACTTGTACTGTTACTTGGAGGAGTACGAAACAGGCTGCTTTTCTCGAAATGCAGCACAATCAATGCAGTTGAAAGCATAAATTGATACCAATCAACTCTGACTCTCGAAAAAATCCAGCAGGAATCAAATCTACTAATGCATCCAAAGCTCTTTGTTGTTTGCACCTTGCTTTACGCTACGGCAAACATTTTTCTGCCGGCAAGGGCATGGACGAATACACACTCTAACAAATACGACCACCACTACAATCAGCAACAGAAGGTTGACAGTGGCGACTCTCTTAAAATCGATGGCTTGGGTTCGACACTTTCTCGGCGAGATGTCTTTGGATCCGCGACCGCTGCAATAGTCGCTGCAGCACTGCCCTTGCCAGCCGACGCTTTACCTGATGGAGACCCACCCCTGGATGGCCTTCACGTTCGAGACCGAAAGTCTAATAAGGGCGCGCTGATTCGAGAAGATTATTGGTTCATGATGGGAAAGACTCCTCCTCGTGTTCTCAATGGACCACTCATAACCGACGACCCTGAGTTCAACGCCTTTGGATCGTGCGAAACGTCCGGTGGTGGTGGTGGTTCGAACTCGTGTACCTACGTTTCACTGAAACAACGCATACCAGTCTATTCGAAGTACGGCTTTAGCATCACATTGGGAGCAAAAGAATATTCCATGCTCGGTAATTCCTTGCGAAAAGGTGATTGGAATGGTGCCGTGCCATATCTGGTGAGTCAAGACTCAAACCTACCCCCACCACCTCCGGTCGACGCCTTGCTGAAGATGGTCCTCTTCGCTTCTGGGATGCTAACGTCACCGAACTATAGCGGTCCGAGCAAACGACTATTGGTAGCAAGATTTTATGCGAACGAAGTTGGTTTTGCGATTGGAGAAATCAAAGAGGCCATCGATGCCCGCGACCAAAAACGAGCTATGGAAGCATGGGAATTCGGAAGAGATTCTTTCAACTCGTATTTCCAGATTGTAAATGACAGCATTTCGCCAAAGGTGGGAGACAAATTCGATCTCATACAATAACATTACATTTACGAAAAACAAATTTTTCGAATACGATAACCAAGGTCGTTTTACAGAGGATATTCAACAATAGATTCTTCTAGTATGTCCTATGCATTCAATGGCATTTATTTTGGAGGGAATCTCTTGTACAGCGTATTCTTCGTATCTTCAATAACGTGTTCCGTCCCTTCCAGAGAGTCGTAGATGCCAAGCAACTCTTCGGTGAGTTCTTTGTAGTTTTCGGGAGTGGCGTCTTTGCGAGCATCCATCAATGTCTTTATTGCGCTTCCCTTTTCACCCTTGCACAGTCGTAAATGGCGCGAAATCGTCATCGCGTACGTATGTTTGTCCTTTGCATCCGAAAAAGAAGGCCACTTCTTCAATTCTTTCACAGACGAGTCGAAGAGATCCGATTGCGAGGTATCAGAAATTGCAAGAGATGCAGAAGCATCCGACAATGCCAGAAGAGTTGCCTGGAGAAGTTTCTTTTGCTCTTGCATTTTCTTTTTCAACTTCGAAGCCTCTTTGTCGTCCTGAAGATCTTCCTCGGTTGGGAGGGCCACGCCGAAATATTGGGCCAATGCAGCCTCATCGATCGGCCCACCGTTCGAAACAGAAAGAAGATCTCGAACTTTTTGGATCTCGCTAACTCTTGCAGCTTCTTTAGAATCCTCACCGTCGAGTTTTGTCTCCTTCGCAAAAGACAGTAACTCAGTCAATAGGGGAATGCTAGTTGAATTTTCTTGCAACAGAGCGTCAGAGAGCTCTTTGTAAGCTGCTGCATCCTTTCGGTTTTTGGATAGGTACGATACCTTGCTGTCGAACACAATCTCGTCGAGTGTTTTTTCGTCCTCCTTGTCCTCGGGAAGCTTGTTGTCGTTGAGCTTCTTGACCTTGGACTTCGGTGGGACTTGGTATGACAGTGTCATCGAAGTAGTAGCACCGCGTCCCTTGTCCAACGAAACCTTTCCCGACATGACATCACCGGGTTTCACCCAAGATGGAAGGTCACCTGTTGGGCGCGAGACATACAAATCTTTGAATGATCCCTTTCGAAGAACCTGCAGTCCAACTTCGCTTCGTCCATCACTGGTGACTGCGGGAGTCGAGGCCTTGTCCAACTCTGAGTAAATCTTACAATCCAACGCATCTGTCGACATGATCAACTGGAAGGGGAGATCCTTCATTTGTTCTAGAACCTTTCGACTGGGATGGCGGGTGTGGAAGCTGAGTGTGTACTTGCCCTTTTCGAGAGAAACCGCATTCGAATGATGCATGGAACTGCCGCATTCTAGAAGCTGAGAGTTACTATCCCTCAGTTCCCATATCTGCGAGTCCAGAGGAGAATCGTAGAGCTGGTTGAATAACGACGAGGCGACGGGAGTGACCTTGATGGCCTTGTCGGAATCAATTTCGAAGTCGTACTTTAGGAACATGTTGAAAATCTCGGTTCCGTCTGACGCCGTCAGTTCGGGGTTCGCCCTGAGCTCGGCATCGCTCGGAGGCATAATATCCCTGTCCGTCGAACCGCTAACGATATTGTAGGTGGAGGGCCGGATGGTTCGATGGACTTTGTCCAGGCTTGCAGAAGGGTTCAACTTTTCCGAGCGCAAGTTTGCTGCTGCACCAAAGCGAGCAAACTCGCGACCAGCCGAGATGACCAGAGGCTGCGAGGCCACTAGGGTCGGCGCCTGTGTGGAAAAGGAGTGGAACTCAACATCAACAACAACCGAACTAGAGGCAGCATTTGCCAACCAAAGAAGCTGCAGGCAGATCTCTAGCGTGGATCCACCCTTGACCTTCATGCTGAACTCCTTTTCGTAACCCTCGGTTATCTGGATGAGTTTCTTCAGCTGAATCTCGGTGTTAGGAATGTCACCGCGCACAAATGGGACGGCGTGAATCAATACTCTACCAGGCGACGTGGGGGAAGGATTCGGATCGGTGCTCTTAATCTTGATCGTCGCCCATTCGGCAATGGAAGGTACCTCGAGGAACCGACGGTTTGGAGCGCCGGCCTCGAGCTTGTACGACATGGAATAGTCGATTCCGTTGTCCCCGAGTGTGATGGTCTCGTGCTCGTTGAGGCTAGCAGACGGGTTGGTGGCGTCAACAATGGCCGAGTGGGGCTTGACGACTGTCACCGGGAGCCGAAATAGGGATCCGCGCGCCTCGTCGTTCGAGTCGATTCCATCTACCGTGGCATAGTGGACACCAGCTGGCAAATCCTCGACCGCTAACCGTATCGAGAACTGCTGGCCGTTGCGTTCGATCGCCGACATCAGCGTCATTCGCTCGGGACACTTGACCCAGGAGGCACTTGGAACGAGGTTCAAGTCCAGCTCCATGGAAAGGACCTCGTCCATCTCGTCGGGGGTTCGGGTCGACGCATGCTGAAAATCGGGCATGACCTTGACGCCGAAGGTCATGGGACCCTCCAGCTCGAGGGCGTCGCGAATGTACAATCCCCTGGCGTTGTTTCGTTCCGGCACGGAGACGTCTAGGGTTAGGTCCTGCGCGAGTTTTCCCCGGTTCTCAAGTATGTAATCGACGGCCGTCGTCGCCGAAACGAGACCGTACCCCTGTGCGAAGGGATCGGCCACGTCGACCGGGACGGCCGTATTGGAGAGTCCCTTCCGAAGTGCCGGGGGAGACACGCGGTCGATCCCGAGCCGCTGCTTCACCGCGCTGAGCACGCAGGCCGCAACCCCGCAGGCATTCGGAGACGACATGCTGGTTCCGTGGTACTGCGCCTTCCCCTGAAGCGCGTGGCGGGGAATGGGCGAGATGGCACCCCCGGGGGCGCAAATGTCGGGCAGGAGGCCGTCTGGGGTGGGCCCTCTCGACGAAAAATAGTACGAGGCGTCCCTCAAACCTTCGTCTCCGTCAGGAAGCGTCGAGTACTGATCGACCATCATATCGGACGAGACGTAGGCCCCGACGGTGATGCAGGAACTCAGCGCACCAGGCGATCCCAGGGAGGAGAGGGCGGGCCCGTCGTTTCCGGCGGACGTAAAGACGGTGATCCCCCACTTCTTGGTCGCGTCCGCAAAGACCTCCGAGACGCGTCCCGAATCGGGCTGCCAGGAAGGTTCCCCGTAGGAGAGGTTGACGAGGTCGCAGCCGTATTTCTTGGCGGCAATCAGTGCCCGGATCAGGCCTGTTCCGGTTTCTGCCGATCCCAGGCGGCCGTCTCCGATCTTGCAGGCCAGGACCTGCGCCCCGGGAGCGACCCCGTTCTTGATGTCTTCCTCACCAAAGTTGGCGGCGGCAATCCCGGCTACGTGGGTTCCGTGAGAGCCCGCGTCGGTGACGATGGAGAGGGTGTTCCCCCCGTCGTAGATCTGGATGCAAAAGGTCACGGAGGACCCAAAGCCAAACTCGCCCATCTGCCGGTGCTTGGCAAAGGCCGAAAAGGGAACGGACTCGGTGAGGTTCCCATCGGCCTTGAGATCGATCACGGCCTTGTATTCGTCACCGTCGCTCTCGTCCCGAAACAAGACGACGTCCATGTAGGGTCCGGCATCGTCGTAGGATTCCATCATGGCCTGGTACTGCCCGAGCAGCGTCTCGGCGTCCTTGCGCTGGCGAATGAGCTGTTTTTTCTCGTCGGCTTTCTTTTCCTTTGCGTCGTCGTCGTCGCCATTGCCGGCCGTGAAGCCACTGATCTTCGATTGCAGATCGTCCAGGGTCTGCTGGGTCTGCGCAATCAATCGGCGGTGCTCGTCCACAAAGGCCTCCTTGCGTTCCCTCACCAATCGCCTCTTGACCGACCTGGGAATCACGTCGTAGAGGCGGATGCTCCCCAACCGGACGGTGCATCCCGCGGGAGGTGCCCAGGCCCCGAGCGTGAGGTCGCGGCCCGATTTCCCCTTGATCACGATCGGCCCGTCGGCATCGTCGTTGGAAACCTCCGGGATTGTCGCCGTGGCCGTGGTGTCGATGTCTCCGTCCCCGGTGCAGTCCAAAAAGTCGAGGTACTTGGGAAGACCCGTGCTGGTTTCCTGGAGCCCTGCGGCCGCCAGGTCACACCCGGTGTCGAGGACGGCGATTTTCACGCCGCGGCCATCGGCGGCGGGCTGGCCCTGCAGGAGGTCCAGGATCCTGGTTTCCTCCTTTGGAATGCTCCGGCTGGAAGAGAATGCGCTAGAGCTTGCGCTTGCGGACGTGGCAGCCACCATGCTGCTTCTGGTTCCCGAGGTTGTCGCTGCAGTTGCTGCTCGTTGAATGGCGGCCCGTCGGAAAAAGAGTGGGCTGACGAAGGCGGCGGATTTTTTTTCAAAGGCCAGAGAGGAGATCCAATAGAACAAGACTCGGGACGAAAGGTACCGCATGCTTTGGCTTGTCGCACGCTGTCAATGCTTGTATTGTGTTCACTACGGTACGTACCGGTGACTAGTGCGGTGTTGTGATTGATGGTATCGATTCGGCAGTGGTTCGGCACCTGAAAACTAATAAAAGTATTTTTTATCGAAGCAATAGGTACATACGTACGTACGACAATACTGCAAAACAAACGATTCCGACATTCCGACCTTAGTTGTCCAAAAAATATTTGCAATACATACAGTACGTACGCACTCGTACTTGTGCATACGAACCGTTACGACAATTTACCGTACGATACGCACAATGTAGGCGTAAAACGATCATGAAAGCGGCGATTCGTTTAAAAAAGATCTTGATCGCTTCCATCGTGAACAACACCGTTCCGTGCGGGTACATAACGTACCGTAGGACAGGGTTCATTATGACCCCTGCCGTACGTACCGGCCGGTACGGTAGGATTGCAATCAAATGCGAAGACAGGGGAGACGGGACGGGAGCTACCGATGCGGCTAACGGCTATCGTACAGTAATTGTAATACAGTAGTACGGGTACCATACGTACTAGTAATTCGTAGCTTCACATCTCGAATTTCGATGGCTTACTACGTAGAATTATGTACGTATGTACGTACGTAGCTACCGATGCGTCATCTCTTCGTGTGGAACGGAATCACTGACTGAAAACTCGTGCTTGTTGTACTCCAAAACGTGCAGCGTGCACGAGTCTCGCTCGTACTCATATGTTACGTACCGTACTACCTTTCGGTATCGGTGTAGCGAGTCCCGCAATGTCTGGACTGACAACGGCGCGCGAAAGAAAAGAGCGCGCGACAACCAAATTGAGTGGCTGGGAGCAGCCAGCTCAGTTACCACCAGTAGCTGCCAGTAGCAACAACAAGAGGTGCGCCTTAGTCCCCAGCAGCAACAGCTCCTCACTAAGACCACTATTGCTAAAGGCAACTGCAACGACTGAGATAGTAACAATAGAATAAGAGCAAAGCTATCTAAGGGGACAGGGGCCAGCCCTCCTTTAGGCACGCCCCAGTCCTTACCCCCTCTGCTCACACATGAGCTCCTCCTCCTTGCTGGGGGGGACTGCAGATCCCCGTCCCCGAAGGTATGAAGACCTGTTCCAGGATCAAACAGCTAACCCCTTTGGGGCCGACTTAGATGCACGCAAGTCTGCCTATGAAGTGATATACCGTAAGTTCCGGGGGACAGGACCGAGCCCACCCAGCGCCGGGACGCTGATGGAGGACGTCCGAGACCTCTTTGAAGCTCGCGCCGTCGGTGGGATAGGAATCTTTGTCAACGACCAGACGGCCACACCACGTCTACGGATTATACATGGGATCCGCAAGTACCCGGGGAGCCTCCTCATGGCCACTCCGTACGCCGGAAAGACCTTTGGGTATTTAGATGACGTTGTATCCGGCCGTGGAGAACTGGTCCAGGTTACCACCAGTATGTTCACCTTGACACGGAGTGTGCGTGTTTATACCGCTGCACAACACCGTATCGTGCTCGAGGCAAGCCCCGAAGCCAGCTTCATCGACCCGCTGGAAGCCACCGCACCACAGTCCGAAGAGATCCAGTGTCGCCACACCTTCTTCATTCCCTTTGAACTGATGCCCTTTGTGCTCGGCAAAAATTTAACTCCCCGACAAGCCTTCTTCATCATACAGCCCTGGCTTGTGGGGAAGGGCCTTACTTACAGCGCCCGGCCGCTCTTAGATGCACTATGAGTAGCTGACACTCACGTACGTAATGAGCACAGTAATGCTGTATGTGAGATCGCAGCCAATGAACCAGGCCCCCTCTTCCGAGCTGAAGCAGACCTCACCGTGTATATGGACCAAAAGGTCCTATACCGGGACTTAACTGGTCTAGTCACCGTCCCCTCCGTAGTGGGCCCTGAAACAGCAGCCTTAACCGCTGCTGTTTCCACCTTAACTGATAACCAACTGAAGGCCAACGAGGTCAATGAAAGAAGGAGAGCCGAGGAGGCGAAGCCCCCAGCCATGGAGGAAGTAATTGGGGATCTCAACACTAGGAGGCTTATGTCACTTTGCCTGGCCGCAGAGCCGGGACAGTTGCCCCCAGTATACCAAGCTTGGACAACTAAAAAGAAAGGGGAGAAGCTTCACGCGCTCTTTCAAAGCCACGTGGATCAAGCTGCACAGGAGCTCTCAGTTCCCTCTCCGTTCATACCAACCTCGACCCTCAAGACCTTCCAGACCTTTCGATTCTATGGTGTGGATGAATGCGAGATCGGGGATGGGATACTACSGATGGCCTTTGCCCCCCCYGGGGGCTCCCCYACAGCCCRCAAGAAGGAGCTGGAAGATGCACAGGATGCTCTGGCATACGACACGTTGGTTTCCACCGCGGGCAACTCCATCAGTCTCACTGATGCACAAACACTGGGAAAGGCCAAAGGATATGTACCGGTCGAGTGGACGGAAGCTGTTCTACAGATAGAAGGCTATTTGCCCGTGCTCGCTACCTTGCTGGGTGTTGAACACCCTATAGTTCGAAGTTATCTAGCTGGACTGGAACGGTTAAAAAGGATCCAGTTGGGATTGCGATATGCCATCAAGGATGAGTGTGGGGACAAGCTTGCCCCAGCTATAGTGGTATACTACTTCCAGATACGAGTGCGAGGATGGCTGGAAGATCAATGGGAAAGCACGGCACCAGTAGAGATCCCCAGTTTCACCCATGAGTTCCGAGTGTTCAAGCTCACCAAGACATTGAACTGGTTGCCGGTTGTATCTGATGTCCCAGCCTTGCAAGTGTTGCGGCGGTCCGCAAACACAAGCAGCGGAGGCAACAGAGGAGTGAAGGGATCCAACCAAAATAGTAACCGTACTAAGGGTAGCCAGTCCAGCGCGGGATCCCAAGCACCAGCCCAACACCGAGTGGAGAACCCTCACCAAGATAGCAGGATCTCCACGGCCAGCGGAGAGCTGGGAACACGACTTAAGAACTGGAAGATCTCCAAGGCCATGAGTAACATGAAGGCCAAGGGCAAGGGACCTTGCTTACRAAACGATGGAAAGGAAATGTGCCACTCCTGGCATGCAAAAGGCTTTTGTTACGATAGCTGTAAGCTTAGCTATGATCACAAGGAGCCTCCAGAGGAGGAAGCCAACCGGTTCTGGGACTGGTGTCAGGAGGCTTACGGCACCCAATGAGGGGGGGGGGGCAGGCAGCCCGCTCCCAATGCAGCTGCTGTGCCACTTCCCCCTGTAAAGAAAGTACGGAGGGCACCGGAACGGGGGCACACAGTAGTGAAGACAGGGAGCCTGCAAATGAGCCCCTCCAAATGGGGGCCTCTGGCTCCCCACGTAGGACCCAGTAGTTTTGCTACTAAAGAGTACGAAGCCAAGCAGATTGAACTGCTGGAGCAAACGGGTTCCAATTTTGAAAGGGGCGTTACACTCCCCGTAGAACTAGGTAAGAAACATACACAAGAACTGGAATCACACCAGGCCGTAGGACCGGAACCTGTTTGCTTCCACGTATCGAATCATTCAAACCTCCAGGAGAGCCGAGACTCTGCGGAAGAGGAAGATAACTACCATAGCCCCGAGGAGGCGGACCGAGATCCAGCACCACAGGGAAGGGGGCCCGCGATCCCCGTGCGGAGGGCCGAGCCCCATCCCCGCTTCACCGATGACACCCACCAGTATCTATCGGCACCTCCGGGAGCAACTGGTACCAGCGAGGAACCGGCCGGAGATAACCCCCCCATCAGGGACCGGCTCAATGAGCACATCCAAAAGGCCATCAAGGCTTATAAGGACTCCACAAGCTGGGGGGGCTTTATACGATCAGTCAGGGGACGCGGCGACCTACACCCGGATGTCGGTCTGTTGCCCCACCCAGCAGCCAGCCTTTTAAAAGGCTTCCAGGAGCAAGGAACTCCAGCGGTGATGCAACCACCGGATTGGGACCAAGCTCGAATAGCCGCTGCCCTGGCCAGGGGGCCCCACAAGTCCTCCAACAATGGGATCAGTTTCTTGCGAGAGGAATATGCAGACATGATGGATAAGCAACAATGGACTGTACTYCCRGCCCGGATAGTYGCGAMCATACCGGGGCTGCGATTGAGCCCTTTAGGATTAGTCCCCCAGCGGGGACGGCGAGATAGGATGATCTCCGATTACAGCTATTTTGGGGTGAATCGAGACACCATTCCCCTGGCACCGGAGGAAGCAATGCAATTTGGGCGAACCCTAAAAAGACTCCTGCAGAAGATACACCGAGCCAATGACCTCTTTGGCCCAGTATATATGTCCAAGATCGACCTTTCAGATGGTTTCTACAGACTGTGGGTCAAACCAGAGGATACTATCAGTCTAGCAGTCCTCTTCCCTTCACGCCCCGGAGAGGAACGGTTAGTAGGAATCCCCCTTACCAACCCCATGGGCTGGTGTTCTTCCCCTCCTAACTTTAGTGCCTGCACGGAAACAGTAGCCGATCTCGCTAATAATCTGCTGAACCAGAGAGGGGGACTTGATAGCATGCGAGTACGGCCCCATCGACTCGATCGAGTAGCGGAATCCCTCCCAGACGACCATGGGGAGGCTCAAGGGAGCGGATGCACAGTCAGGGGGCCTTCCCAAATCGTAACCACCTCCAATCCAGCTAAGAAGCCCCTCCGATACTGGGATATCTATGTAGACGACTTCTGTGGACTGGTCCAAGGCAACAAGTGGACACGGAGGGCTGTGAAGCGGGCCCTACTCCACTCATTGGACAAAGTGTTCAGGCCCTTAGACGCTGACGACACACCGTATCGGCAAGAACCGGCCTCCCTGAAGAAGCTGAAGAAGGGAGATGCGACTTGGGCCACTTCTAAGATCATACTCGGCTGGAAGCTCGATACAGTAACCAAAACAATTACTTTGCCGACCCACCGCATTACTCGGTTGCATGAAATTCTGGACTCCATTCAACCGGGCCAGAAGTATGTCCCAATCCAAGACTGGCACAAGCTGCTAGGAGAATTAAGGTCCATGGCAATTGCCCTACCAGGATCCCTGGGCCTGTTCTCCTTGCTCCAGGAGGGCCTACGACACCAGGAGAAGAACCGTAATCGATTACGGCTTACGGGGGCCATCCATGGGTGCCTAGCAGACTTTCGCTGGCTGGCCCACGACATCGCTAATAGACCCACCAGCATCGCAGAGCTAATTCCGGATGCATGGCCGGCCACGATAGGGGCCTGCGATGCAGCTGGTAGTGGGATGGGGGGAATCCACTTTGTCCCCCTCCCGTGTGGTAGAATCCAACCACTATTATGGAGAGCTAGGTTCCCTGCATGGATCAGACGCGAGCTGGTATCCTTCACCAACCCAGGAGGTACCATCACCAACAGTGAACTAGAACTTGCGGGATCCGTAGCACACATGGATGTTCTCTCCCAAGTAGCGGATATTACGGAGAGAACTACACACAATCTCTATGATAACACGGCGACCGTCCACTGGCAACGCAAGGGAGCTGCAACCACCACAGGACCGGTAGCATTCCTACTGCGACTCCAGGCCCTTCACCAAAGGTTCTTTCGCTATGTCCCCCTCCATGATTATATTCCGGGCCCGGCCAATGCTATGGCAGACACACTGTCTCGAGCCTGGGATCTGACGGACTCACAAATGCTTGTTCACTTCAACCGCAATTACACACAGGATGTGCCCTGGCAAATATGCCAGCTGAGACAGCCCATGCATTCTCTGCTGATCTCAGCCTTGTCCAGACGACGATGCGATCCAGCGTCACTGATGGTTACTCCCGGAAGAAGGATGCCCATTGGAAGTGCTGGCTTAAGTTCTGTGTGTCTCAAGGCCTTGACCCATTCCTCAAGTCCTCGACAGACCCAGTCCCCTATCTCCAAGTGTTTGGAGCCAGATACCACGATGGAAGGGCCTCCCCCAGCCGTAAGCGTTCACGAGCTCACACTGTATCGGACGCCATCCGGTCAGTGGGCCAGACGATCACCAGGCTGGGGGCCCCGGACCCTCGGCTCAACCGGTTTGGGAGCATCGATTACAGGCTCAGTGCTCAGCTAAGGGCCTATAGAAATCAAGATGCTCCCCCTTCCCGTGTAAAACCTGTACCAATCACACTGGTGATTCATGCCCTCAACTTTGCCTACAACCAACGTCCCAGTCAAGAACGGCAAGCAGTAGCAAATATGATCTGCATAGCCTTCTACTTCTGCCTGCGACCCGGTGAATACACCGGAACCACTACGGATGATTAAGCCTTCTCCCTGAACGATGTGGTCTTCTTCATTGGCCCGCGGCGCCTGAATTCATCGCAAGCTACGGATGCAGAAATCCTCGCAGCAACCTCCATCCACCTCATATTCACCACTCAAAAGAATGGAACCAAAGGGGATGTCATAGCACACTCCAGAAGTGGCGATCCCCTCTGCTGCCCGGTGACTGCAGTCATTCGGCAGTTTCTCCTCCATCGCAAACGAATGCGACCCTATTGCGGTACGGTAAAACTGGCGAGTTATTACAATAAACACAACACGAACGTTCGAATTACATCAGCAATGGTCACCAACACCATGCGCTGGCATGCGGCGGTCCTTCAACCGACAACAGGCATTTCACCTCGCGCCCTCAGTGCCCGATCCTTGCGGGCCGGGGGCGCGATGGCGTTACTGCAAGGAAAATGTGACTCCAACGTCATCAAGCTGCTCGCACGCTGGCATAGTGACGCCATGATGCGCTACCTCCACCAGCAGAGCATTCCCCTCTTCAAGAACCTCGCAGCCTTAATGTTTAACAACGGCGCCTACAGCTTTCTTCCGGAGGAATCTGTGCCGTCCACGCCGGCCTGATATCTCCGGTCTACCCCTCACGATTCCCCTTCACGCTCCACTTCTCGCTCCGGCTACACCAAGACCTTTCCTTCACTGCACGTCGCCTCGTTATGTCCCTCCCACGCTTCGCTCCCCCCCGGAGTCCTTTGGCCCATTGGCAGGAGCTAGTAGTTATGCGGAGGCCGGTGGGTTGGATAAGCAGTCTCAAGGATCCAAGCCCAACACGCTCCTCCCCCACGGAATGAACCCTAACCCTAACGGTATGGGCCTTCCACGGGGAACAGGAGCTAGGGTTATGTGGTTTCCCTTAACACCTGCTTAACACACCACCACACGCAATAACACTAGTCCCAGAGGATCTGGGAAAGTATAGAATAAGGGACTCGTTACAGAGGCTGTTTTGGCCTAGGGACAAAACAGCCGTACAGTATGGTTTGTGTTGTTACTTTCGCTTCGGGGACAATCAAAGATCGAAGACGGTACAATACAGTAAAGGGGGGATTTAAAAAAATACTGTAATCAACAACATTTGACCATCTTCAATCGATGTCAACACATCAAGATTTCTTGTCCTGTCGCTTCTTCGCATTTCTTGTTCTTTCAGTATTCCATGGTTTTTTTTACAGAGTAATTTGTTAAACATCAAAAGGCAAAGATTCCGGAGATTGAAGGTCTTCTTTCCACCCCGAACCCGCTGCTTTTCCTCTATCTTCGCACGGCAAAAACAAACAATACGTCTCTCGGTTGATCGATTCCTTCCTTCCTTCCTTTCTTCAAACACCCAACACCAAAATGTACTGGTGGGCCGTCTCAGCGGCGTTCGCCGTAGTTGTTGTTGCCCTGGTTCGGTACTGGCACCTCGACTCGTTCGTCCTGGGCTTGCTGAGCCTCCTCGATTTGCTCCTGGCTATCAAGCGGCGGGCACGCAGCGTCCAGACGAAATCCCCGGAATGGACCATGGCCGATACCATCGAGGAATCCTGCAGCAAGCACTGGGACAATCTCCTCATGGTAATGGCCGGACAAAACGATGACTCGCAGTGCCCTTCTGTCTCGTCTCCGAGCCAAAACCAGAAGCCGAAAGCCCAAATGACCTACGGCGAGGCAGAAATGGCGTCGTCCGCCGTCGCCAGGTGGATTACCGCCACCACGGCGTCGAAAGCGGCTCTCTGCGAGCCCGACGACGCGGTTGCCATCTTCATGCCGAGCAGCTGCGAGTTTGTCGCCGCTCTGTTCGGGTTGATTCGCTCCGGGGTCCGTGCCGCCCTGGTCAACACCGAGCTGCGGGGAACCTCCCTGGTCCACGCCCTCACCTCGGCCCTGGACCGGGGCAGCGACGCCGGGGCAGCGGGTGCCAGGGGCGTGAGGGCCGTGCTTGTGTCCCCGGGTCTCAAACACGTTTTTGACTCGCTCCGGGAGGCGGGTCAGCTGCCTTCCTCCATTGCCGTCATCGAGTGCGGCGCCGGGTGCGAGCTGGACCCCTGGACCGAGACGAGACGCTTCGCCTTTCACGGACGGCAAGCGCAACCAAAAAGCAAGGCGTCGGGGTGGGACGGGACCTGCCTCTACATCTATACCTCGGGCACCACCGGCTTTCCGAAGGCCAGCAAGATGAACCACATGCGGATATGGATGATGGGCTGCGCCGGCAAGAAGCTCTGCCGGCTGCGGTCCGGCGACCGGCTCTATTGCCCCCTCCCGCTGCACCACTCCAGCGGCCTTGGGCTCGGCCTGGGGGCCTGCCTCCAGAGCGGCTGCACGACGGTGGTGCGCCCAAAGTTTTCGGTGCGGCAGTTTTCTCGGGACATTGCGACGCACCGATGCACGGGTAGGTACACTGTTTGGTTGTCGTTTTCTGGTGACTGTATCATTCCATGCCGTGCCGCGGCACACCCTAGCATGCGCTAAATGTTTGATGCTTGGTTCTCTGGATGGAGTCTCACCACAGCTTTTGTCACCGTACGATGTTTGTCTCTCCTGTGCGATGAAACTAGGTGTGCAATATATTGGAGAGATGGCTAGGTACCTTGTCTCCGCTCCACCCAGCCCGTTCGATTCCGATGTCAGGCTTCGGTTCGCCCTCGGAAACGGGATGCCACAAGAAATCTGGCTGCCCTTTCAGAAACGATACAACATCGATCTCGTCAACGAATTCTACGCGAGCACGGAAGGAAACGTCAACGTCTTCAACGGCACGGGGGTGGCACCGGGGGCGTGCGGAATCGTTCCACTGGGATTCGGATGGATATATCCCATTGGGATTTTTCGCTACGACACGGACACCGGAGAGCTGCTCCGTGACGCCACCACCGGTCTGTGTGTCCCGGCTAGCCCAAACGAACCGGGCGAGCTTCTGGGACTGATCAAGTCCAGTGATCCCACCCGTCGGTTCGACGGCTACACGAACCATTCCGCTACGCGGTCCAAGATCGTGAGCAATGTTTGCAGGAAAGGAGACCGATACTTTCGGTCAGGGGATTTGCTGCGGCAGGATCGCCGTGGGTTCTTGTATTTTTGCGATCGCGTTGGAGAAACCTTTCGCTGGAAGGGCGAGAACGTCAGCACCTCGGAAGTTGCCAGGGCTCTCCTGGAGTGCCGTGGGAACGGCGTCGGTTCGAATACCCAGGCGGCTGGAGCTACAGAAGCCAAAGGAGACACGGCATGGTTTGCGGAAGCCGTCGTCTACGGAGTGGAGGTCGAGGGGTACCCCGGGCGAGCAGGCATGGCAACGGTGGTCATGAACGAGGGTGCTAGCAGCAACAAGTGGCAAGATTCCTTGTGGCGTTCGCTTCAAGCCGAACTTCCACGGTACGCCCAGCCACTCTTCCTCCGGATCGCAACCGAGATCGAAAAGACGTCGACCCAGAAATACAAGAAGAAGAAACTCCAAGACGAATCCTTTTTTGATTGCGGGGGCGATGCTGTCTATTTTCGTGACGATGCCGCCAATCGGTTTGTGCCAATGGACGAGACGATCCACCACGGCATACTGAGCGGAAACCGAAGGGTGTAACGCGAGGACGAAGCAAAACCCTTTGAAATCTGTTGTGTTGAAATCTTTTTGCCTCGGAGGGCTACGGTACGGCAGTCTTTTTGAATCGAATTGGCCTATTGAGTAAAGCAAGAGAGGCTTCTCCACCTACCAACTGAAAAACCCTCGCCATTTACTGCACCCAGGAATAAAATCATTGAGTATTCTCGAAAAATTGTGAGTATTCATTGTAACAACATGATTGAGACTGATTGTGTATGTTATCGTTAGAAATTGCCAGACGTAACGCTGTGATGGGCAGATTCCACGTTTCGGTCTCAACACAGCACGAGGAAGTGGGAACAAAACGAAACTCAAACGTGCAACCTGTGTCCCGGTCAAACGTGCATGCATCGGTGATCGTGCCTTGCACGAGACGGTTGCGTCATACCGAAAGAATGGAAAGCAGAACGAATAAATCGAACGAAAGTAGGTAGAAAAACGAGTTACGAGATCTAGTGAATCAACGAATCATCGCCATTTTCACGTGTAGAACTTCTCCATCTGTGCTCTCAAAATAGTTCCCTACGACGCAGTACCTTACACAAGAACATGCATCAATCATCTTGGCTCACAAGTACATAAGGTGCTGTGTCTTAGGAAACTAGTTGGTGGACGCAGATAGAGCATTGGACATGAGATTGAAGTATCACAGAAAAGGAAAGAAACTACTACATGGGAGGGCAGTTTCGCTGATTTGTTTCGGGATGCAGCTTGTTTTATTGGTCGTAGCTCTCTTTTCGAATGCGACAGCCTTGAGAGCAAACAGTTGGCAAAAACGATTCGACCGAGCGTTTCTCCAAGTTGATGGAGTAACCCCAGAAGGTCGATTTCGCTCCTTCCAACGCGCCTTAAAAGATCCCAGATTGCGATCAGATGTGTCAAAAGCAATCGATATCATCCAGGAAAAAGGATTCGGAAAAGGGCACCCAGAATTCATCGAGATTTTATGGCCGAAGGGCACCCAGGCCCGTCGAGACCTGGAGGCGATTAACGCTCTAACAAAACAAATCCCAGAACGAATCAATGAATTCGAAAATGATTCTCCTGAATCAAGAAGCAGCAACCTTAATCGCCTTTTTCAATCGATCCAAGATGGCGTTAGTGCAGAAGTTGCGGCTTCTTCTTTTCTAAAAAGATCGCGATCGGATCCAGAGGGTGCCGTTCGTCTCGCAGAAAATGTTTTTCGCAATGCGCCCATTGGACTAGAATCCCCATCCTATGAAGTCCTGGGAAAGTTTTCAAAAGAAGAAGGGGATACGACGACGCCAGGTAACAAAAACAATGATAGCGACCATGATGATGCAGAAGCCTCCGCCAATAAGAAAGAATCATTTACGACTTGTGCACCCATGGAACTTCGACGATATGACGCCTTCCGATCCATATCTACCCCGATTCTGGACACAGGATCATCGTCGTACATGCTGGAATCTATGGGTTCGGCTTTGGTCAGGCTCAGTAGCTATCTTGAGCTCGGTAACAATGTTGATCAGATTGTCATGTCCATGACAGTGCCATTTTTCATCTCTGACTCTCCAACGAAAGGAGTGGATAAAATGTTTATGAAACTCCCCCTGAAGAACGAGAGTGATCCGCCAGAGACAGTTGAATCTTCAGGAATCACGTTGGATGATTTTCCTGAGACTGTTTTTGCAACCCTTTCCTTCCCAGGTATATGTACTGATCAGGAGATAAAGCGCCAAAAGGCAAAACTTTTGGAACGTATCAAGGAAGCAGGGGATATCGGATGGAAAGTTGGCAGACAGATGGGAAGCGATGATAAAATCGAGCTGGGAGAGGGAGAATCAAACGATGAAGGCCAAGAATTCTTCGTCCTTCAGTACAACCCTCCCGGTACTCTGCCATGGAGGCGAACGAACGAAATCGCAATTGTGATGGAGAAAGCAAGTCAAACACATGATGACAAGGAAGTAAAAGACGATGTGGATCTTGAGCCAAAAATACCAGAAAATGCTGATACTCTCAAAAATATCAACATCGATGAATAGTTTAAATCTTTATTGTTCCCTCTTTATTTAATGTAACATAGCGACTTTTTTTCAAATTGTCATCTCTGTGTTGTACAAGTGTTCTGACGCGATGCGCGGTTTCAAGACAGCCTTTTTATTTATCGTATTGCAAAAATGCTTTCATGCCAAGAACTAAGTTCTCTAAGTGGGGGACCTCTGACGAAATTGCAGCCACATGACCATCCGGTCGAACCACAACAAACATTTTGAAGCTAGAATTTGGTTCCGATAATCCAGGAATCAGATTCAGATCCTCCCACTGATGTGCATCCATATGCATGTCACAAATAGATGTATCTATTACATCAATTTGGCTCGCTCCATTAAGCGTCGCTTGGTCTCCATCAGAGTTGCTGTATACTGTTAGTCGTGACATCAAGATTGGAATGCCCAGTTTTCCCTGCAAAGACTTTTGCAAAGACGGCAGCGTATCGTCCGGTTTTACACCAGTAGAAGAGACGATCTCGACTATGCAAAAGGCACATGGCGTTTCATCCGTTGCTAATTGGGCAGGCAAATCCCTTGTTGAAATGGTCCGCAATTCGTCCGCAGTTGTGCCTGTGACGATGAACCGATTCCTTCCATTAGCATTGTCTTCTCCATTGTCGATTGGTTGCAAACGAGGAAAGCTTAGAAGAGTATCAGGCTCAACCGAAGCCACTATGTGAGGAAAAAGGCCACCTACAACTAGTCGCGGAAATGACGCAACTGAATCTTGAGACCATTCATCTTCTCCATCAACGGAAGTTCCATGTTCGCCAGGTGCGCCATACGAGAAGTCGAGTTCGTATCTTGGGAAAAGGAGGGGAAGTCCTTGTCCCGATCCTAACAGTGAACGAAGGTTTCCCTTGATGGTTTGCGCGTAGATGCCATCGGGCGACGATTCGAGTTGCGACAAAGGCGACAAGGCGGTTTTGAGCAACGTGCGAAAGGTTTGTCGTCTCGCCTCGAGTGGCACAAACGACGCGGTAGCATCCAGTGCTTGAATGAGAAAAGCGGGATGCCGATCATCTAGATAGCACGCCCTCATTACGTTCAGAACACGGTTGTAGTTTCGAACAGACAGAGCGGCATTTCGGCGTGCAACCGGTTGCCTTTCTCGTTCGTACGTGCGTCCAATCTCTGACAGCGACGAAAACGTACTGTTCCCGTCTTCGTTGTTTGATGTCCTGTCTTTGGGGTTCTGTTTCGTTTGTCGATTGAAGGCAATTTGCCACGCCAGTGAGTATACATCTTGCAAGCCGGTGTTCATTCCAAAGCCACCGGCAGGTGGGAAAACGTGTGCCGCGTCGCCTGCTAAAAACACGCCGTTGTCTGTATGATACTTTCGAGCGACCAACGATCCCATCGTCCATGGACGAATCGAGTGAATGGTGAAACCGTTCGAATTCCCCAGGATCGACCCAATCATTTTACGAACCGATTCGATTCCAAAATCGTCTTCTGGCGTCTGATATGGTTCAAAGTACGGGATTTGCAAGACGAATTCTCCTGGTCCGTGCCGAACACACATTGCCAATACCTCGGTATTGAAGATTGTATATAGCATTGCGGGTGGAATGCTTGTTGTCTCTTCCGAAACAGTGAAATGGACGTTGATTAATCGCTGAAGAGTGTGTGTCCCCAGCATTGTCGAATCGTTTCCACCCCTTGTACCGTCTCCGGGAAAGAGGTTCTTGCGAATCGACGAAGCGGCACCATCTGCGGCTACAATCACGTCTACGTCGTCGAACAAGTCTCCCCGATCTGTCTGGACGTTCCATAGACGTGTTTCCTCGTTCCAGTCAAACCCCGTGGCACGGCGTTCATACATCACCTCGTCGTCCGGTGAATCCACCAGAGCGTCGTACAGAATGCGACAAAATGTGTGCTGGGCCAGGTGTCCCACCGATTCCGGGCTCAGTGCGGTACCGCTACCTCTCTCGCGTGCCGTGCTTGGCGTTCTGTGGTCACCAGCCGCTGATTCGGGCACCAATCGCCCGTTGGCGTCCTCCGTGGCCGCAAGGGGCCGATCGACGGGGTGCACTACTTCGGCCAGGATCTTTCCGTCCAAGGTGTTGCACGTCATATCGGGACCGAATCGAAAGGATTTCCATTCCTCTACGGGTGGCATAGCACCCCGCAGCCTTCTATAAATGTCGTTCGGCTCGTTCGGGTTGCCATTGTGGTCGTTGCAGTAGGACAACCCGTGCTTGAGAATCTCCATCGTTCTCGTGTTCAAAAAGTGGGCTTGCGGGTGTTGAAATCGTCCTTCCGGGGTTTGGGCCTCGACGAGCCGAAACGGGACGTTGTACGATCGCAACAAATGGGCCAGGAACAGTCCCGTGGGACCACCTCCTACGATCAACACCCGATTTTCGTCGCGACGCAGTCCGAGGCTGTTTCGGTTTCGGATACCCCTTTCGTGGCTCGGGGCATCGGTGACAGTAGCGGCAGTACGATTGCCAGTGTTGTGTCGAGCGAACGACTGCACAGTTGTCAACTCTTCTAGCAAGGAACGTGGTCGGGGTCTAATTCGGGACGGTGACCGAACCGAATGCAGCTCACGAAGTGTACTACGACGTCGCCCAATGCCGGCGGCGATTCGTTTCGGACAGGAGTGCAGTTGCCACCGACCGCACATCATCTTTCCAGTGATACGTACTACCATCGGTAGGAACACGTACGAGCCCGATCGGTGAACCCCGAAGTCACTCGATGAGAGTGATGCCTTTGCTTTTGAACTTTGCACAAAGCGGAAAAGTGAGTAGAACGTACGTACCTCCCGGCACGAAGAGTAGTACGAATGGTGTTCGCTGAAAAAATAAAAAATGATTGCTAGAGAATTAGAAGTACAGTACGTACGTACAAGGGTACGTACTTTCATCCATTTTTGAGATTGAGATTTTGAGATTGACTGACTCATGATTCATTCAGAACGACTCAACAGATCGCAGAAACGTTTCTTCTGGTCAACAATTGGTGGAAAGAAGGCATTTGGCAGAGAAATATTTAGTGTCACCAGCCCCAAGCACCAGCAGACCCACTAGCACAACAAAACAATAGCACAAGAAGCACCAGCATCTTCCGTTATAGTACTGATAAAGAGGATGGGGTTGAGTGACAACAAGCAAAAACAAGCTGAAAGAAGGAAAGAAGCTGCTGGAAGAGATGCCACCAATGTTGAGGACGATATTTATTCAAGGAACCAAATCATACAGATTGGCAGAAGAAATTGGCAGCAAGATGCATGAAGGGAGAGATTCCTTCTGTGACAGCAAAGAAGGGTGTTGCCATCCGCTTTATCAACCCATGCCCTGGTGGTGTGCAGAGTAAATATGGCAATGGGGAGGGAGGAAGAGGAGGAGCGGCGTATAACTTCTTTGTCTGTTGCCATCATGGTAAAATGATGACTAGTTTCATGACCATCCCAAAACATGCTGGACAAGCAAACTGTAAATGCCCATTTTGGAAGAAGAAAAGGGTAGCAAAGAGAGCATCTGCTGGAGACAAATCCTTGTTCTGGAGGAATGGCTCTACTACTAGTAGTAATAAACCAAGGCTGAAGAGGCCAGAATGAACTTACTTCCATCCAAAGGAGGGAAACTTAGGTAATTCAGATGGAGAAGAGGATGAGGAAGGCGGATCATACAGCAGCAGTGACCAGGATGATGAGCATGCCCTTTCTCCCCCATCAGCACTGTTTCACCATGGAGAAGATGTTTCTTTTTGAAATAATCCTGAACCCCATTGAGTATTTCTATGATCTGCCTCTGCATCTCATCATTGCATTCTACAAAATGCAGTAATAAAAAGAGGAGGTTGTGAAATTCTGTAAAATGTAGTAATGACAGGCAGAAATATGTCTCCACTAACTGTAAAGTCATTCTGGAAGGTGCAAAGTACTTGTGTAGACTTTCTTTGCATGTGAGATACTAGATTTTGGAGATATGAACCAACTTTGTCTAAATTTACTATCTATTGGTTGTCTGTCATGTTGGTCTATTTTTTTCATAGATTTACCTTCAATGTTTTCGTCCCTTTTGGACATCCTTTGCTTGTAGTTTGTGTTGGTCGAAAAGGACATATTTTTTCATTGGACACACGTATTCTCTGTTATCACCATGTTGGTGGAGCAGTTGCTGTGCAAAAAGTAAGGCACAACTCTGTGCAGCTCTATTTGTTCTCGTTTGGAATGCATTCGCCATACAATCCTTGATGAAGAACAGAGATAAATATTATGTATTGACACGTATTCACCTAGTCCGCCATTGTGGTTAGGCAGTTGCGTTCTGAAACCCGAAGCACACCTCTGTGCTTTCGCCGTTTATCTTTCCTCTCTCTTGGCATCGGTGCGTAGGCAGTTGATCTATGCATGAACGAGTGAAATCACGCTGTCTCAGAAGACCATCTCTTCGAGCATTGCTTTCAAGAATGCCGATTCCGTTGTCAACGAATTATCACGACGAACAATGGATGCGGCCTGGTTTGCAACCGAGCTCTCGAAGCTAGAAATCTGGTTTGTGGTGCTTTCCTTGAATTTGTTGATGTTGTCGCCAATGGTGTCCATCGGTGCGACTTGCTTTGCCACGGAATCATGGAGAGCAGACAACCCATTTGCCGTGTTTTCCTGCCACTTTTGAAGGTTATCTCCGATCGCGTCCGCAGCTGCATCGCCCTGTAATCCCATTCGGTGTTGAACGTCGTCCCATTCAATCCAGCTCGTGTCCCGAAACGCTGCTGTCTTGTCCCGGAGAAATTCACCGGTACCCTGAATCATCGGTGCAGTAGTACTTCCAATCTCCCTCCGCGTTGCTTCAAGGTCGGCACCAACATTCGCAAACATTGTTCGAACGCTTTCTGTTAGCTGGATGGCATCCTTTCCAAGCCCGTCCATTGTTGACTTGCTCAGTTGCTGAAAGTCGGTGAATTTTTGGGCCACAACGATTTCCATCGTTTCCCGAACCTTTGCCATCTCGCTAAGTAGTCCTTCCCGGGCATGCATCATTTTTGCTTCGCCCACTTCACGGAAAGCGCCATAACTCTGTTGCGAAAGATCCTTCATCTCGGCGGAATAGTCGTTTGCCAGTACTCGAGCCTGCTCATTCATTTCGACTGCGCCGTCTTTGATCTGGTCGGTGCTTTGTTGAATGGTTTCCTGGAATTCGGAGGCCTTCATCAGAACAACATCCTTGGCTCGAGCAATGGCCTCGCCGCCCTTGACTTGGAGCTGACTGTAATCTTGGTGGAAACCTTGTTGCATCTGGTCGATTTTCGCCTGACCAGCGTAACGGATATTCGCATATCCTTGGGCCAACTCTCCCTGGAGACGACCACTCGCCTGCGCAAGATCGTTTTGCCACTGGTCTATCTTTGCATGGCTTGCCGCTTGCCAATCGCCGGTGTGATGTGCAACAGCTGCTTTTCCGGAGATAAATGCTTCGCCCAGCGACGTCTCGACCGACCCAAGCTTTGCCACGAGCTCGTCTTTCAGCACATCGGTTTGGGAAGCTACCTGAACCGAGAGGCCATCGAACCGACTCGGCAGGGCAGCCAGAGTATCTTGCCACTGATCCCTTTGTTGTGCAACGAAGGGAACCAGCTGGTCTGACAGTTCATGGAAAGACCGTGGCAATCCCGACATGTCCCAATGAAAGGCCGTGCGCTCAACAATAGCGCCAAGTGCAGATGCTAGATTGTCTCCCACTAGATGCTGCGCCCCTTCCAAGAACAAGGGAAGAGACGGTACAGATAAGTGAATATCCGGACTGGCGATAACCATGCCGAATGCCAAAATAATCGCCAGGGTCAGTCCGGCCTTGGACGGTTTGGTCAATCCACGATAACACGTACTATCGCTACCGTACACAAAGACTTCTGTTGTGGCAATGCAGTGAACATCAAGAAAATGGGGTTAGCTTGAGAGCCACGGAATACCACCGACCATTACCCTGCAGTCGAGAGTCATCCGGAAGCAGAAAGGAATACAAGCGCTCCTCCAAATGAACCAACGATCCTCCGGTGCATGCACGTACCGTCCTTGACTTCCTCGCTTTTCTCTTCCAATGGATCGCTCACCGGAGCCTTGTTGTACGACTGTCGCACGCCCTGGATGTAATCCAAGCGGAACGACGCCTCAGACATGCGGGGCGACTTTCGCTTCGATTGCTGGCGCGACCTCGTCTTCTGAGGTCGCGTTTGGAAGAGCAAAGAGTGCGGCGAGTACTCGGGAGGGCCGGATCCATCCATTGCAATCTTTCCTTCGCCGGTCTTGGCACGGATGAATTCCGGTGAAACAAATGCGGCAACGTTTGTGGAAGTGGTGTGGTCGATGGCTGCCATCGCAATAGCGACGGCAGCGTGAATTGGTTTGAAGGATACCATCCTGACGATTCTTTTCCAAAAAAATGAAACAATGAAACCCAACCGTTCCGATCGTCGAACGAAATTACTGTGCTTGGTGCGGCGCTTGGTGAGGTTCCTGGTGTAGCATAAACCGAACCATATGCTTCGACCAGATTTCCTGAAGTTCTCTCTCTCATAATATTCGAAGTGCAGTACGAGTACGCACCGGTACCGGTACACTATGGATGAGAACAAAGATGTACGTACTCGTACCCTAGGGTCATAATTGTTTAGACTCCGGTGTGCTCGCACCCCTGCAGCAGTCTCTCAATTTCGGAGTAGTCGATACGTACGGTACGTGTACATCATTTGTTTCTTCTTGGAATGCTTTTGCTCGACCGACAGTTGCCTTTCCCGGGTCCGCTTCGAATACAGAACCCTTTTTCAATTTTAAAAGATCGATCGAGGCTAATGCGAGTAGTACGTTCCTACCTACTAAAAGAAACTGTCATTGTTTGAACTTCCAAAGAATTCCGAAAACTGATGGAAGAGAACCCAATCCGCCAATCGAATCGAACATTTGAATCGGCATGGATTCTGTCCACTATTCTTTCTCTTGCGCGAGCGCGCGCGAAATACAGTTTTCCCAGAACGGAACCAAAAACTACCGGTACAACAACAATGAGAACCGTGACATCAAATCAAAATAGATAGATGATTGGCGAAAAACCACTGGTGATCCAGGGCCCTCCGGTACCCACGCGCACATCCCCCTTTTCGAATTCCTCCCCTAGAAAAACGTGGGTTATTTTTTGGGAAAAAATACCCACGTTTTAGAAACGTGGGTTATTGTTTGGGAAAAATAACCCACGTTTCTAAAACGTGGGTATTTTAATTTGAAAAATAACCCACGAAAGAACCCAGGAACCCACAAATAACCCACGAAAGAACCCACGAATAACCCACGAATTTACAGTCATCTGGGTTGATGGAGAACCAAGGGTGTTAAGTATTTTAGTCATTAACGTTATTTAATCACTTTTTTTAATATTTGGAGAAAGGCCCAGCAGGTTTGTGGGTTTTTCGTGGGTTATTTCGTGGGTTATTCGTGGGTTATTTGTGGGTTAACCCAACCCACGTTTTAAAACATGGGTTATTTTTTGGGAATAAATACCCACGTTTTAGAAACGTGGGTTATTGTTTGGGAAAAAAAACCCACGTTTTAGAAACGTGGGTTATTGTTTGGGAAAAAAAACCCACGAAATCATACCCCCGATATTTGATTTCAAAGGGGGGACGCGCGCGCGTTGGTTCCGGAGGGCCCAGACACGGAACTAGCATATGCCGATCATGTTCTTTTCAATGCAAAGTTATAGCGATCGAGTACTGTAGTAGTGAAAATTGGAGATACACCAATCACTACTTCTTGCAATCATCGGCATTTATTACGGTGATGGTAGTATGACTAATAACTACAACTACTCAATTGCTTTCGACGGATCAGCGGCAGCGTTGGACTGCTGAACAGTTTTCGCTCTCTTCAATATTTTTTGGTCCACTACTCAAGTGGACGCACCTCGATTTACAAACTAATAGTAGCTAGTATGATGCAATTATTACTTTAAGTATTGAATAGCATTTTGCAAATACTATTTTGATTCCTAGATCCTAGTGTCGAGAGTATTAGCACCTCTTTTGCTCGTTTTGGATCAGCTCGAGTTTCAAGTATATATAATGTTTGTGCAGAGTTTTTTAGCCAATCAATCAATGTAGTCATTTATTGGAGGCTGTGAATAGCATGGAGTGATGGTGCAGATAGCGAACCAGAAGTGAAAATGCGCAGTCATCCAAAAACGCTTTGGTAACTTCGTTTAGCTTGAGGGCGAGGCACCCAGGGATATTAGAGCGAGAATCGCAGAATGCTCTAGATTACCGGGAACGTCAGTCGTTTTGGCGTTGGGACCTTGTTCTTCGATTGCTTGCATTCTTGTGGTAGGAACAACGGGTGTGGTGACTTGTTTCTTGGAGAGGAGAGAACCGCCATTGTTTGTTTGCGCCGGAATTGTTTCGGATGAGAAGGATGCTTCTGGCGAAAGAGGTGCGGTGCACGCGGTGTTATTGTATGGGATATCGGGCTTCGAGAGAGGGAGCGGCGAGATCGGTGGGGGTCGCAAAAACGCCGATCGAGGAGACGGTTCCGGAGTGACCATAATCACGGATCTCTGGAGTGGCGAAATGTTGATGGTCTTCGGGACGAATGTTGGATACGATGAAATATCACCGGGTAGCGGAAGAGTGATATGTTCTTTGCGAACGTAATCCATGGCTGTCATCGCCGTCGGGGGCCTGTCGGGAGCTGCCGCAGCCGCAGCATCGGTGGTGGGAGCAGAGCAATGCTGCTCATTGTTCATTCTTTGTCCCTTCTGGACCTGAGGATTAAGAGCTCCGATAGCGATCGTTGGGATCACTTTCATGATCTGTGTCGTTCGGTCAATGATGGCAGTACCAGCAAGATTCGTTGTGGGTCGGGTCAGGTGCTGGGGTTTGCGCTGGACCTTTGAATTCACGTAGTTCATCATCCTTCGAACACTCGTGTACAGTTTCTTCGAAGACGGATCTGTGGTAGAAAGGTCGTGATCCTTTCTCTTGGCAAGATGCAAGTCATTTGTCTTTGAGTTGAGAATGTAAAAGTTACCGTTCCACTCTCGAATGATTTGCTGGATAAGTCCCATCTTCTGGAACTTCGAAAGCTGCATGTATTGTTCGGAATGGCTTTCCAGGACCTTGAGAAAGATTTCATTTCGTCCGTTCCCTTTGGTTCCGAAGACAACATCGTTCTCTTCTAGATTATGCAAAAGCAAATTACTCCCTCGGCGACTTGACACTAGTTTTGTCATGTTGTCTTGGTAGTGTTGGCGGCTGTTCATTTCGTAGTTAAGTTCCATTGAGTCGATCTTTGAATGCCAACAAATAATCACTATCTGGGGCTCTGATGAAAAATGCGTTCGGTGATTGTGTCTGATTCAAAATGTACGGTAGTCAACGTCGATAGCGACAGCCGATGGCACAATTCACAGAATGCATCCCAGTGTTCACATCGCTTGACAGACTCACATCAAGAAAGATTGCAGCCATCGCCTTCGGGCTTATGGGTTGCCGGTATTTTGCCACCTGCTCCGATCCTAATCGCATTTTGATTGGTAGATATTGACATCACAACTTCACTCTCTAAAAAACTAAGGTACGTACTTTTGTCTCACGGGTGTCTTTTCGGAATCGATAATTGCCGTATCAGCTTGCAAGAAACTAAAACTAAATGTTCGCGATCCCAGCAGAGGGACACTCCAAATATGCTACTAGGGATAGAGTTAAATAAGAGGGATTGCCTTCCCCCCCAAAAAGAAAACTTCCCTTATTTTGAATTTTTCCCCGGCTTTCCAAACTGAACAATTGGGTCACAATGAAATGCTAGCAAACGTAACTTTAGCAATGCATGCAACAGACGGCTTCAACAAACCTTAGGAAAAGGATCAAAACACCATGTCGGAACCTGATGAACTTTATACGTTACGGGCCCAGTTTTGGCTTGGTCACTACCAAATGGCTTTGGATGAGGCGAGAAGCATCATGAGACGACCAATGAGCCCGGATTTGAAGGCCGAACGAGAAGAACTCGTAGCGAGATGCCACATTGCTATGAAGGACTACGACACAGTCATTTCGGGGGACATTAGTTGTACGTGTGCATGTTGCAATGGATTTTCGAGTGAACAATTTAAATGATGACAGGCGTCAGTCTCACCCATGGCGTCTCTTTGTTGCGGTTATGACTTACTTTGAATCTGCGTTTGTGACTTCTGCATCGTGACTGTTGCAGCTGCGGACCTTAAAGCCCTGGCGCTACAAGCGCAATACACCACACTCGCTGCAAGCGGAGATAGTGCCCAAATGCAATCAGTGATTCAGCAATTGCAAAGCATGCTAGGCGACGGTGTATCCCCCCGCGTCCAATTGACAGCTGCTCACGTCTTTTTGCAGGCGGGTATGAAGAAAGAGGCGCTCCAATGTGTCCACCAAGGATTGACCTTGGAACAGTCCAGCCTTTGCGTTCAAATTTACATTCTTTTAGACCGTTTGGATCTCGCCGGAAACGCTCTAAATGAGTTGCGTCGAATCGATGAAGATTCCATGTTGACCCAACTCGCTTCGGTTCATATTGCACTCGCTACCGGTTCCAGCATGGCCGGAGATGCCGTTCACACGTTGAATCAAATTTCGGAACAATACGGACCCTCGCCCATGCTGCTGAATTTGATGGCATGTGCCCAGATGCAAGGAGGCAACTACGCTGAGGCAGAGAGAAAGCTCGCGCAAGCCCGTGAAGAATTTGGGGCCGACGATGCCGACACACTCGTCAACTTGATCGTGGCTTCTCAATATCAACACAAACCCGTCGACGACTACATCGAGACGTTGAAGCGGCAACACCCTACTCACTTCTTGTCGATGGGTATAGACACCGTAAGTGGTGCATTTGCGCGAGAAGCGATCAAATACCGAGCTTAAAAGCCGTGCTTATGGGATCGTTTGACTTGATACCGAACGAGCGATGATCTTCTTGTCAATTGCCCCCCACGAACTACCTAGAAATGTATTTTCATAGAACTTAACTTTCTTAGGGTGACATCGTACTGGAAAATCAACTTTCAGATAGAGTATATTCTTTTAATGTTTCCGTCGGAAGGCTCTCTCTGTATGCCAATGAAACTGATCTCTCGTCCGAACAAGGAAGAGTCTGCACACATATCGAGGTGATCTACAGTTCAAAACTAAATTACTTTTTGTTATCATGATTGAAGGATTCTTTTCGAACGTCAAGGAAGCGCCGCTATTGTTGTGTTTTTGCGTTTGCGTTTTGCGGGTTCATGTTCGCGTCCATGTGCAATTACTTCTAGCGGACAGCGACTCCAAATTCGTTGCACGCAGCATTCTCTGTAAGCACCGCGTGACAACAACTCGTTTTTTTAGCAGTGAACATCACACGAGGTACTTTCAAGACTTGCATCATCAGATGCTGTTGTAGGTCGTCGCTTTTGTTATTTCTAAAACCATTGATCGGCATGAACATAACCGCATAGAAATGGTAGTGAAAAATTGAAAATTTGCTGATTTACGAATTAGTCAAAACTATTTGATCATTTTTCATCAAATTTTCGCTCTATGCTTGACCTGAATCCGGTGTTGGCTTCTTGTTCATCCTTGCGACCAACATGTCTTGCCCGCAATTTGCTCATGTGTGACATGTGGGCGTATTCGCGTGCAATCCTTTCGGGACTGCTACCTGTCTCTTGTTCATAAAGAACGGTACACATAGCATCGAACCGAATTTCTTGCTTGATAGATAAAGCTGACATTGTCCGACACTCTAATCCTCTCACACAACTATCTGTGCTACATAGTTCTTCGCCGCGCTCTAACACTTGAATTTTTTCCATGCATTCGTCACGAATATCGCAGTATTCTTCGTCGGTAAACCAGCAGGCGTCGATTTCTTGTATTGTATAATTGTGTCGTGAAGTTGTGTTTCTGACATAGCATTTCTTGTTAAAACGAACCAACTTCTCTATAGTTTCGGTGAGGTTCGAGGTCGATGTAGTTGCTGAGGAATTGTCATCTAGAAATGCATCAGGGCATGGTGATTCAATCTGTACACGAGATTCTATACCAGCTGATGAAAATCTTGGAATTCCTCCTCTGTAAAAATGTTGTGATTTTCCTCGGCTTGAAAGAAGGCATTGGTTTCCGTTGCTCTTGTTCTTGATCATATCCTTCTTACTGTACCTATCTTCGTCCTTGCGTTTCATCTTCTTCTCCTTGCTAGACACAATCACATTCGCTATTTGAGAGAAAGAGTGCATGTTGGTTCTTAGCTTTGTTTTCTCGCTCGAAGGAACTTTGTGTGACGTATCCAATAGTTTCAATTGAAAGCAAAGCTTTGGTACAGTCATCGAGGATTTCTGTACTCCTTAACGCAAAACGTGGTGTCTGGCAGCAAATCGTGATGGATGAATGAGCGTTGCTTCTCCTGAATCTTTGTCTCCAAAATGTGAGATTCATAAGGACCTTAATTACATTGTTCAGATTAAAAATGAGCACTAATTGGGGTTCGCACTTGACTTCCAGAAAATGTTTGAACCCTGGCACGAGATACGAAGGTCTACTGTGTTGCTACTACTAATTTATGCGATAGTACTAGGTTTTTTACGTGCGTTTTCGAAAAGAAATAATAAGAATTCATACTGCATAAGAAAAATAATACGGTATTGAGTATGTATTAGACGTAACTTCAACAAGAATTGAATTTTGACACGTCGTTTTATATGCCTTTGAAGAAATTAGAAATTCTGGCAGCATTCCTACTTAAGGACAACAATCGAAGCAAAACTTGCGACCAATAAATTCCTTCAGAAAAATGCGACCCACACAATTCCTATTTTTTCATTTGCTGAGGGAATAGAACAGAATACCGAAGCCTCCTCGCGTTTCCCAGGCACTTTTATCCCAATCCTGTTCCCATCGCTCGGGAACTGCAACTCATACCACAGATTTTCTTTTCTTGTCGGGGCCATCTTTTTCTTGCCAACGGAGCTGCTACCTCTCCTTTTGATAGGTATGACTCAGTCTTGATCTCACCTTTCTAGTCCAACTTTTGGAAAGGTTAAGACTCAGTATTGATCTCACTTCTCCAGTAGTTGGTAATTACTTCCTGTTTCTCGTATCTCTGACTTTTTTCCCCTCTCCTACAAATACGGGTATAGTTACAACTCCTAATTTAAGAAGTAATGCATACAGTAGTTCCGATCTTGTAAGCTGCAGTACCACACAAAGGTTTTCTTCTACTGGAGTCAGTGCGAGAAGAACTTTTTGTTGCAAAAATTGATGTACCTTCGAAGAGCTGAAGAAGAATTCTGACCCAAACAGCACCGAGCTTCTAATGAAAACCACACTTCTTAATAGAAAGTTCGACCCATTTATGCTGATTTCACCACAAGTTCTGACCACTTACTTAATACACGTAGAAATTTCGTAATATCGTTCCTTTCCTCAATAGATGGTTGATATTTCATCATGCTACGAAGGTTCAAGTATGATCTGTTCTTTCAGCCGATGACCGGTAATTGACATTTTAGGTTCTTTTCCGCTTCTCCTTTTTCCAAGGAAGAAACATCTCTGTAAGGTTTCTAATTTCAAAATGACGATGGCGCGAGAAATTGATCTGAATCTTGTATTACGATGATACTTCGTGGTTTTAATAAGAAATCTATTTCGCCATTTCTTGCCCCAGCACTATGACCATGGCACATCACAATGAGACTGCAATTGCTTGCATCCTATCCTCCAAATAGCCTATGACATTCATGCGTTGTACCTCTAGATACCGTTACAATTATCGCATTTGTCGTGGTTCAAAAATTATGTAAGGATGTATGCTGTCTACATGCCAGTTCATTTAAGTAGCGTTTGGTTATCATTTTATCGCTGTGCACTTCTTTAAGTATTCGTGTATGGCTTTCCAACCGGTATAAACGACGGAAAACTTTGCTTTCAAATTATAATCCGTCAATTCCGAACAACGTCAACTATAATGAGAAATCACCAGTTTCATTGCTATTCGAACGTCGACGCTTACTCCCACTGGGCATTGTGTCGATGTCGTTCTCATTATCGTTGGTATCCATGACATCATCTCCGTCGCCACAGAGTTTTGGTTCTTTGGCCATGGCCTTTGCCGTCTCGTTGATAAGGAAGCGCCAGCAGACAAAACCTTTACCTTGTTTCTCGGTGTAGCTGTCAAGTCCTCGTTGAATTGTATCCTTTTGTTTAGAGTAGTAATCAAGAACATTTTGGGCAACCTCTTGTTTTGATAGAATGTCCATTATCATGTACTGCTCGACGAAGTATGGACCAAAAGTATCAACATTCTTGTTTCCAGTACGATCGAATAGAACAAATCCCATTTCGTCCATAACGTATTGGACACGCTTTTGCATAAGATTTGTTTCGATGTCGTGAACATTAAATTGATCCTTCATACCAATAACGTACACCCCCTGTCTTAAAGCGGCAATCGTATATTGAGGGCTCGGACCAACAAAATTAGTTTTCACATCAATCTGGTATAGTTCACCCTCAATAATGTTAGACGACGGCGACTTCTCGTGTGTATCAGAAGAATTTGATTTTATGTAATCCTTTTCAGCTTTCTCGCAGAACATTTCAAAAGATTCCTTAGCGCTAGAATTTTTGAAATCGGTAGCTGCACTCTTGACTTCGTCACTGATATATTCTTGGTGTATGTGGTGTGAGTATAGGAACTGCAATGTAGGATACACATTGATTGCGCCCTTGCAGTTGCCCAGTTTGTATGCAACTGAGAGTATCGGAACGGGTATCGGTTGGTTCAAAATATGTTTTGTCTTGTCCTTCCTTGCACTGAGAGTACAGTGGAAGTAGTCAGTAGTAGTGAAACTCAAAGGGAGCTGATGCCTTTCGTTGAATATTCCCATTGCGTCGCTGTCTTGGTTCTTATTTTGCTGGCGTTGTTTTTGTTTCTGCTGTTGTTTTGTGTAGCTTATCTCCATGAGGCTTTGCTGCTCACCCGAGAGAAAAAGTATAAGTTGATCATATACGTCACCTGAAGATACTCGCTGCTCAAACTTTTGGTTCACAATTTGGCGTAAAATATTTTCAAGAACATCACTTTGGAGTCTTCTGCTGCAACCTGACACCGCTTTGTTTGGACTTTTATTGAACTTATCAACGAGGATATTTTGTAGTATATGGGAAAGAACGGGCTTTCCGAGGACATTATGCACGAGCTGCTCTTCTAGGTTTGATACGCTTTTCGCAATCCTCATTTCCATCTTTTCTAGGAAGGTGTTGACAATTTCATCCTTGTGATAAAAAGATCCGAGGGATAGGTTAAAGAGGGCGATAAGTGTTAGATAGATAGACGAGATATTGCCTGCCATCTTCCGGTCACAATTTGTGACATAAAGCAGTCGAGTCAATTCCAATTCTCTAATGTTGTTGGTTGCTCCTCCTTCGCCGTCCATTCCGTCAGGAATATCGCTCTTGTAAATAGTGAAATATGTTCGATTCATTGTGCGAGAACGTCCCATTGCTTGCCATATCTTACTGAAATCATCGACGTCGTGCGCGATAACGATACTCTTCATAAAAAGACCCTTATCATATTGGCGTTGATAATCGAGTTGGAAAGGAATATCCTTACCAATAACATTACGGTTATCGACAAAAAAGAATATGTGGTTTCTTAAATCGGCGCCGTAGGTCTTGCAAAGGTGCTTGTAAAATTCTTCGTCATACTGCACATCGTTCCCTGTTTTGATACAGAGTACACGGTCGCTGTTATCTGACTGATCGATGTGATACAGGTAATGGAAGCGATCAGGCCCGTAATGATGCCGAATGCAAGCGCAAACATCCTGAATAGACGATCGCTTGAAGATTCCACAAAGATCAACGACGGCATTAAAGCTCGTAGGTTCCGATTCCGTCTTCTCGTCGTCTATTGTCATCGACGAAAAGCTACCATCTGATCTTTCTTCCTTGACAAAAATTGACTCAAGGGTCGCCATTTCGTTCAGCGAATCTCTGATAAAATCAGAGGAAACATATCTAGCACGAACGTTATTGTTCTGGCCTTGAAAACTTTCGAATCGAGTCTCGAATTCTGCTTGCGGTAGCTCATCACCGCTGTAAGCATAGAAGTCTCGGTTAATCATGTCAGGAATATCTACCAAAAGAGAGTGAACCTCGTGTTAGAACTCTGCACTTAGCCAAGATCAAAAATGACAGCTAAAACCAAAATAACTTACCATCACTTCGTTCATGTCGAATGTAATCCGCGGTAGGATAATTATCGAGGAACGGTGTACCTGTGAAGCCGATGCAATCAAAGTTGAATATAATATCAACCGAATTAACTGATCGTGATTTGTCTCGTATTTCCATTCGACGTAAAATAATCTCGTATAGAAATTTTGCCAGGCCATTGATAGTTTCTGGATGTTTATCGCAAATTTCGGAAAGTTTATTGTGGCCATAAACAAGATCATCGAAATCAAGCTGGTGATAAAAGTGTTCATTCCAGTACTCGAACGTGATAAACTTTCTCTCCCCCTGAAAAAGTTCGTCATATTTGGAAATGTCTTCCGTTAAGATAACATAAGTCAGGTATATCGTACGCTCGACATCACTGTAGTAAGATCCAGGCATTGCCCTATTCACCGATTCATAAGGACGAGCAATGAGAGACTTGTAGCCTTCAATATCGTGTGATATGTTAGTGTTGCAGTGCCTAAGCGTCTTCTCGTTGAATATTCCAAATGATTTATTGATTGATCTGCTTGCGTCTTGGATTTCTACATGGATCGCGCGGAATTTGTCGTAAAGCTGCTTCCAATACAATGGATTCCGTGATGATTCCAATTGACAGTTTGGGCAGCCCAAGTTCGAGTAGGCAGCGCGACTAACTTCGAAAAAGAGATCAAGGATAGACCTATCAAATGAATTGTTTTTATTCGAACAAATATTGAAAACAAGTTTGTTGCGGTCTTCAAAGTAGATATTACCGTTCATTAACACAAGAGCAAGGAAAAGTGAAGGGTAGTTGTTGTGAGATAAAAGAGATAATGTCACCAATAAAGCCAAATCAAATGATTTGATATCAATACTTAACATACCAAGAAAATCATCTACCTCATCGGCAAGGACCAAAAAATGATCGCGGTGAGGCATGACCTTACGACAGATCTTGTCATACGTAAATACCTTCTTAAATTGATTGAAAGAAGTAACAAAGATATGTTTGTTGATTCGATTGTGATTGCTTTTATTTTCAGATCCCAGCTGTACGCTATCATTCATGAGAGCGAAAATATCGTCGTAAACACGATATTCCTCCTTGAAATTGAGGTTTAGACAATACCGGAAAACTTGGTTACGTGCATCAGACACAAGATGTTCAGGAACTAATACCACGAGAACATCCTTCCTTTTGCCGCCACGACAGAGATTTTGATGAACCTCTTTATTATTGGATAAGAAAGCTTGACAGAACAGAGGAAGGATGACCTTAGTTTTCCCAGATCCAACTTCACTGAAGTGGAAACATTCCTCTGCACAAATAATCTTCTTCAGAAATGATTTTTGTTTTGGCCTAGGTACGATCTGGCATTCACCATCAACAAATCTTTGATATTTGGTGAAGTTTTCGCAAAGTGCCTCAATGAAATTGTCGAGGGGGAGATCTCTAAATTGATTGAGATTGAAGAACTGGGGTGATAGAATATAATCATAATGCGAATTTGCAGACCTGCCCAGGACATACAATATAGCTTCTTTCCATGGACCTGAAATGAACTTAGTATTGCCTTCGCTCTCACGGAACTCAAGTCTGATAGAAGAGCGTCTCAGATATACAAGGAGAAGTATAAAAAATGAAATATTCCTCAACTTCAACGCTAAATCCAGCAGATTGATAAGCTGAGAGCGGTCCGGAATCTAAGGAGAGAAATTTTGTGAGTGTTGTGAAAGTAAAGTTCATAAAAGACCATATAATCATCGCTCGTCGAATAGCAAAACTATGAATTTACCTGTAGCAGATAGTCAGGAAAATAGAAAACCGTCTTCGACTCTGTCAGTAGCTCAGATAACTTAAAGAGTTTGAAGCCAGTTTCGTCGTTGAGGTCTTGGACAATTTCTTCGGAGCTAATGTTTTCTATTAACTCGTGTCGCATACCATAATAATCTTTCACAGACAAAGACTCCAGTTAGTTTCAACCATATAACGGTCTATAAAGTAGCTTCACGTGAAATAAAAGAGAGTATCGGCGTACCTGTACAATATTGACCTGCGGAGTCAACATGGAATTTCAGGTTACGAGAAGTGAATAAAACAACATCCTCACTATCGGTGTACTGAAAGCACGGAACGAATGAAATAGCATCGTTGAAGAAAACGGTTGCCACTTCTACTGGAATACTGTTGACACAAATCTTCATTCTCGTATGATCAACAACATCAACTGCCAAAGTATTATTCGCAATGAAGATAAGGTATTGCTCCTTGGAGTCGTTGATGATTCGAAAAACATTCGTTGCCTCGATGTACTTGACCATCGACTTCGGTTGGGGATAGAAATGGATCATTGCACAAGATGAGTTAGTCTCTGATGATTTGATCATGAACCTCAGACACAAATCGCCATCTACTCACCTGTTTCTTAGTGGAAGGATCGAGACGCACTCTATACAGATTTATCTCGGGTTGGTGAGGACGTAAGTCGAAAACGGGAGCGTCGTCATACGTCATGATCCCATCACGCTCTGAGAATGTGTAATGTTTCGTCGTCTCCTCTAAGTATTCCCCAGTCTCTTTGCTGAAGTTATTGGGAATAATGATTCGATATTCGTCGTTGCAGCGAACTTTATAGTAGTCAACTTCAACCGACTTGTTAATTTGACACAAAGACATGTATATCTTTACAAGAAGGACATAACTCTGGTAGTCTGGATCTGAGTTCAACTCGCGAATAAGCTTAAATTGGTTCGATTGGACATTGAAGTCTTTGTTGACTGAAATGCATGTTTTGATCCAGGCGAAATATAAATTGAGTGGGTGAGACCAGGTTGAAATAGACAATTTGTCCGACCCCAGGATTTGGGTTTTTGCGAAATTTCTAGTTTGCGGAGCACCCGTTAATGAAATGACGGTCGAATATTCTAATGTCCACTGAAGGTTTCCACAAAAATACACTTACCCAAGAATTTGTAAGAGGTTTCGAATATGAGTTCTTCAACTTTGCTTCTTGTCACTACACTGGAAGTATTTTTTCTGTCAAATTCATAGATTTTGTTGGCCACCTCAACCTGGAGCTCACGAGTATCAGACCTGTGCTGTAGATCTTGTAGAAATGGTAGGTTGAGAAGTCCGACGTGTTTTTCAAAGAGCCCGAAATCTAGCATCAGCGATAACAGACACAAACTGATGACTTCGTTATCTGATTTGAACTGATTCCCTTCGGCGCTATCAAAGGTTTTCTGAAGAATTTTCTTCAAATGATTGAATTCGTACACACGGTCTGTGATGACGAGGTGGTTCACGTCGTTCCTTCTCTCTCTGCTCACGCCTGCCGCTGCATGTCGAGCCGGAGTTGCCACAGCAAGGTGTAGCGAAGACCTCGAGCTGTAATAACTCCCGCGTGACGGTATCTCTAGTGGCCCGTAATGATAGAAACCACAGTGATCGTCTTCAAAGAAAATCTTTTGCGAAGATATTGCGAGCAGCGCCCGAATGTCTTTGCCAAACAACGCAATATTCGACAAGTCTGGATTTCTCCAGTATGATTGAACCACATTGAGAAAGTGCATCAGTGTATTGTCTAAAAATAAGGAATCCAAAAAAAGGGTAGGTCAGGAAAGGATGATTTTATCGATCGAACGGTCTTTGCAAACTAAATCACGAAATGATCATCGCAACATCAGAGCAGATCGACCATGGCTGAGTAGCGTACTCACACTTTGAGTAAGTGTGGCCAAACCCTATCTTTACGCAAACCTTATACTTGTTGGAGGCTTCCAGATCTCCTTCAACCTTCTGTCCATACTTCGATAAGGATGTGCGTGCCATTTGGTTCAAACATTCCTTTTCGAATTCGTATTCCATCCGGAATTGTTGGCGTCGCATAAAGTCGGTGTCGTAGAAGACAGTTTGTGTCATTGAATTAATGTCTTTTTCGTTTGGGTTGTAATCTGTAAAACCAAGTCCTGCATTGTTTTTCAGAAAATCCACCGTCATGAAAGTATCGAGAAATGCACGGTAATCCTTCTTGTGGCCTACGAAACGGTCGGTACTCAGCATTTTGTCGTAGTTGTTCTTGTTGTTTGTAGACTACCCTTGCAGCAATACAAAGACAAGAATTCGAAGAAAGTCGATGCAGACGAAAATAAACAAACAGGATTGAGCACGATCGGAACACGACAAGGTCGACTTTTCTTTATCCGAACAAGCATCGGGCAAGAACTTACAACAAAGATGTGTTTCAGCAGCATCTGGTTTACCCCGTGAACGCGTGATACTAAGTTGCTATCTGCTCGTTCTAGTGAACAATGGTCGATGATATAGGTGTAGTAGTGCAGGTCGATCAGCTCTTTTTGCCCGACTTCGTATTGCCCCATAAAATCTGTGGAGATGATTGTTTTTTCGCACACGCATTGCACAACCAAACACAATTGGAAGAAAAAACTTGTGAATCAGCTTCGATTCGAGAATGCAAAAATGCAAAGGCACAACGCACCGGTACACTTACAGTAGTCCCTATATTTGGTGGCTCCCCTCGCAGACTGAAGAGCCTCCCTGCAGTCACCAACGATCGGTTCGATGTCTTGGTAAAACCTTAGCAACTGGTTTTTCCGCAGCGAGTTGAACTCGTGGAAGTCGTCGACGTTCAGGATTACGTTCACGTTGAAACCGAACATGAAGTTGGCGGCCTGTTTTGCAATATCCAATGGAGAAACAGTACGACGATGAGTGCTTTCCTTTCTCGAACCAAGTTGTTCTTCCCCGCGGAACTTACCCGAAATTTGTAATAGTCCGACCTCGCCAGCTTCCCGGCGGCGCCGTCCGTGCCTAGCACGAAACTGAGCGTTTTCGTGTTTGCGGTAGATTTTGTGGCCCCACCGAGCGAAAACTTGTCGTAGCGGTGCAGGCATTTTGTTTCCTGGTAGTACTGTAGGACGTGGCGGTATTGCTGTTCGTAGTAGTCGTCGCCGTAACCGGTCGTGCGGTCCTCGGTCCCGCATTTCTGTAGGTAGTCGACCATCTTGTGGTAGTAGGGCGAGGATTTGTATCGAAAAAAGTCCAGAACAAAGTTGTTGTTTGTCATCGGGCGCATCAGCAGCGTTCCACCCTCGTCGGGTTGGTCCTCGGCAAAGAATTCCAGCAAGAAGGTGCATATCCTTCTGGTGACCGGCCCCAGTTCTTCCTTGTTGGAAAAGCTGATCGATCGGCCGTAGTCCAGGCCGATGTCGTCGCCCGACACCGATACGTACGGCTTTCCGACCTTGCACAGTACGCCAAACAGGAATGCCTGGAAATAGCAGGTGCAGCCGGTAAGCTGCTTCGACATGGCCCTCGTGTTTCCGGGCTGGTTGAGAAAGACGTACTCGCCAAGATTCAGATCGATGGAGCGGGACGTCACGTTGATGTCTTCCATCCGGTTGATGCTTTTCCAGATCTGCCATATCAGTTTTCGAACAGGGTTGCTGTGTCCCTTGTAATGGTTCGGGTTGTCGATGATGTGCTGGTTGTCTCCGTAGTGGCACTTCATCAAGCGGAAGAGGGCAAACCTCTTGGCCGAGTCCCCATTGATCAGCTGCAGGCGCCCCCCGGCCGGATCGTAGTACAGCAACGACGAGGCCTTTGGCTTTGGCTTTGTCTCGCTGCCGTCCCCCAGAAACTGAAAGGCGGTGAAGTGGGCATCGATGCAGCAGACGACCAGGCAGTGCCGATCCATGACGTAGTTGAGCAATTCGTCGTACTGCATATTCTTTCGGTCGTACACCACGTTCTCGAGCATGTTGTAATTCGATCCAATGGCGGGGGAGAAGTATCTCGCGACGGCGTTGTAGTTGGAATAGCCCTTGTCGAAATACCCACCTGGCGCGAACAAGAGGAGCGGGCTGAAGGAATACGGATAGCAATCGAGGCGGATGCACTCGTCGACGACGCTTTCGCTCTCGTTTTCGTTCTCGCTGCCCTCCATGGTTTCCGTTTTGCACTCGTCGTCGCCGCCCAGATCGTCGTGGAGATCATCGACGTCGTTCAAGAGATCTTCTTCGGTGTCCATGCCGATCGTCGAATCGTGTCGTGTCGCCGGGAACGGGAAGTTGTTCTTGTTTTTGTTTCGAAGGAATCCCTGGGAGGGTTTGGAGCGGGGGCACCTCTGTTCCGGTCTCTTTTGGTGGGTGCGTGTCAACCAAGCAAGGTCTGCTTCGCTTGTCCTGTATCCGGTGCGATGGCCCGCCAGAAACTCGCAAAAATAAAAAGGATTTGTGTGCATCGATTCTAGAACTACTGTACCGTACGGACCGTACTACTGTGCGAGAAGTAGTGTTACCGGTACGAACGAGTACGTACTATCCGTTGTAGCGGCAGCATACGGTAGCATGGGCCATGGGCCATGGGCCTACCGTACCGTACTGGTTTCGTAGCAACAGTACGAGTACATACGAGCATGGCAATGGCAATGATGGTGAAACAATACAATGGTAAATCAATCAAAAAATAATCCGCGTAAGCCGACTTCGTTCCGGGAGGGGAAGGCCAGACGCTATGAAAGCCAAACTCGTTGCTCCTAGCGAGTACGTGAGTACTCGTAACTGGTACGTACGATGTTACGAGTACGATGATTGATTCCATGAAAGGATGACATCAACAAGAACAAGTACTAGTAAAAGTAGTAACACACCATCCTCTGCAACAACAAGAAGCAACAAGAACAAGAACAAGAACAAGAACAACAAGTCCCTTCTTGTTTTTGTTGTTGCTTCTTCTTCAAGAATGATGGTGAGATGACATAACTAGCTACTAGTAGTATTAGCACTGCTGGTAGTACTACTACTAGAAGTAGGGCGGAGGATGAAGAGCGAAGGAGGATTAAACAACAAGAAGCAAACAGCAAGAAGAACCGCCACCACAGCCTTGTTTGCCACCGGTATCACTAGCGATGTTGAAAAATTCTCTGGAGAATGCAGTGCCCGCAGTGGTTCTGGGGTGTTGCGATTGGATTCCACTCAAAAAGTACGGAATACCACTAGTTACTACCAGTAGTACTAGTGCAGTACCTGTTATGGCTTGGAACGGTCGGTGGCTACTCGTACGGGGCCGCCATTCAAATTCTAGCAGAGCAAGGAACGCAAGCACGAAACAAAGACGGTACTTGTACGTACGGTACGGTTCTCACAATCACGGAATGTTACTTTTACGCGATGATAGATAGTACTCTGCTACAATACATACACTTGCTCGGGTTTCTGCTCGAACCACTATGATACACCGAGAACAATCCAATGCAATTCAATTCAATCCAATGCAATTCAATGCAATTCAATGCAATTCAATGCAATTCAATCCAATGCAATTCAATCCAATGGAATGCAGTCCAATACACCACCCACACGTCCCGGGGTGCCCACGCCGGCCGAAACACGGTGCCTTCTTTCGTTTTGTGGTGGTTTGTGGATGGTGGTTGTTCTCTGCTCCGCGATGCCACCGGTCGGTCGCTTGCTTGCTCGATCGCTCCGGCAAAGCCCGGCACCCTTCGGTGGAGTCCTGTCCTGTCCTGTCCTGTCCCGTCCTCTCCTCTGCTTACTCCCCGTCGTCCACCGCCCCGCGGCTCCCGACGCTGCGGACCACCGACTCCTCGTCGAAGAGGACCCCGCGGTAGTACCGCTCCGCTTCCGCCGTCCGGGGGTCGGAAGGGGCCATCGCCCGGTGGGGCCCCCGGGAGGGCTCGCTCCCGGCCGCGCCACCCTGCGGGGAAGGGGCAAGGGCCCGCTGCCGGGAGGGGCCCGTTTCCGCGTTCGCGTCAACGCCGGCGTCAAGGCCCGCGTCCGCTCCCGGTTCCCCCGCCGCCGTGTGGAGCTGGGCGTAGAGGTGCTCCATGGCGCCCACGCCGACCTCGTACTGCTGCTGGACGTAGTCCTCGTACTGGACCTGCTTGTCGCAGTAGACGGTGCAGACCCCGCAGTGCTCGAGGAGGGCGTTGTTGACGGCCGAGGCGGCCCGGACGACCGAGGCCAGGAGGCCCTCCCTCTTTACCATCGACCGCCGGGTCCGGGCGGCCATGTTCCCGGGGGCCTCCCCGCGCGGGTCCGGGTACGATTCGTGCATCATGGTGGGTGGAATGCGGATGTCTGTAGGAATGGGTGTAGGAATGGGTGTATGAATGGGTGTGGGAAGGCAAAGCCGAATGCGTTGCCTGCAATGGCCGTGGCTCTTTCTGTTGTTACTGGTATCCCTGTCGTCGGATTGTTCTGGTCCGGGATCTTTTCCGGCGGGGATTCTGTTCGGTGCGGCACTCTTCGATCGTTCTTTTAGGTGCAGGGACACTCTCGATGGCCAAAGAAGCTGGCGGATCCCGTGTTCGATAGAGCGGATTGGATGCGAAGGGCGGGGATTGGTGCACCCGGTTTGTTGTGGTGCGGTGTGGGCGTGTCTGTTCTGTTCTGCTCTGTTCTGCTCTGCTCTGTTGTTGGCAAGAGCCGGAAACGGGTTGGAGGTTCTGTGGAATGGGTGTAGGCGTCGTGTCGCGTGATCGTCTCGTCTCGTCTCACGAAAAGGTTGTCACGGCGGAACAGCCTCTGTGCTCCGCTTTCGTGAGCAGGAACAAGCAACAAACAGAAACCGAAACTTCTCGAAGTGGAATGGAACCTCGCGGTAGGAAACGGGAGCGAGTCGTACCATACCCGTAGAAGTGCCGTAGCCCTCGATGCATGCCGGTACTCGTACCAATTCCAGTTTACAGAACGATTGCCCATTTCGAAGTCCCCGTTCCGATGCGGGCAAGTTAACGTACCGTAGCACTCCTACCTAAATCACCCCGTAGGCTCCGAGAAAGGAAGGCACTCCTACCGGTCAATACGAAGCAATCACTACCAGTAGGCTTGCGCTGGGGAATGCGATGCAGGACTTGAACGAACAAGACTGCACCGCGACCGAAACCGATAAACCGCCAACGAGATTAAGGAAACGGTCGGAAGACCCCCTTTTTACCGTTATTTTTATAACGGTGGAACAGCCAAGTCACGCTTCGGGGGACGGTCGGTGTTCGTATTGCATCGTGTCACCAACTACCGTACCAACCAACGGCAAGAGTAAGCAGAAGCAGTAGTTAGTTCGTACCAGTACGTACGTACTGCCATTGCTGCCATGCGTCGGGTAGAGCAAACCGGTGCAATCGTACGGTGCGTTGCCAAACGACAGAGCCAACGACCCCAAAACCGATGCGATTCGTGTTCGCGCGCAAATTAAGGCGCTCCGGAACGGTATGGTACGTAGTACCGTAGACAATAGACACTAGACACTACTTGTACCGTACGAACACAGGACACTGTCAAATTTGTAAGTACTCGTACCTTACAGTCGGTAGCGTACGTACCAACATACGCGTCACGGAGTGTACGTACCATACGTACTCTATGTACGACAGGATACGATACGAGGTAGAATGTACGGTAGAATGCTGTGTGGTTGGTCCTCGTCTCGATTCCTGCCTCGATCGAATCGAATCGAATCGAACTGTTCCATCTTCCAACCCATCGCGACAAATGACAATGGACCGATAGAATAGAAGCAACCCGATCATTTTTCCGTCTCCGCCTTTCGAGATACGGTACGGGTACKGTACGATACCACGCACACAGCAGCATCGCATCGCATTGCATCGACATTCCATTCCTGCACCGTTCCCGACCAAGCACCACGGCGGTGCGGCACAGACACAACCACAGACACAACCACAAGCACCGATCGATCGATCGATCGATCGCATAGCATAGCTAGCCCTTTCCCGCAATGCCGGCCACGAGCCCTTCCACCGGAGAAAGGGGGATCCTCCTCTCCCTGCCCCGGTGCGACATGGAACGCCCCGACGCCGGAACGGGCGGCCCCACCGCCGCTGCCGCTGCCTCCGAGGCCAACCCAAAGAAATCGATGAAGACCACCGCCAAGAGGGCGGACCTGGTCCTCTTCAAGCTGCCGGCCAGCGCCAAGAACCAAGCGGAGCGGGGGGAGACCCTCTCGGACGACGTCCTGGGGGGCCGGTCCAGGATCCTGGCCTCCCCGGCGTCCGCCTGCCTCGTGACCCCGTCCGCCTCGCTCAAGCTGGTCAGCATTGGGACCTCCAACGCGCTGGTCGTCTGGAAGGCGGACACGGACACGGACACGGACGCCTTTGGAAACGAAACCCGGGCCTCCCCGGCGAAGCGGGCCAGGACCTCGGACCCCTCCGGCACACTTCCGGCCGCCGTGGTCGCCCCCTGCCGGCTGGTCCAGCCGGGGGGCAGCGGGTCGTCCTTTCTGGTGGGCCAGCCGCACGACCCCGATCAAGGGGACCTGGCCCGCTTTTTCGAACAAAGGGGCCCTTCTCTGCCTCCGGTTTCCACGGCCGAGCTCTGCAACCTCTTCCAGGCGGCCCCCGGCCCGCTCTGGAAGGCGCTGGAGGGGGTCCATGCCGTGGTCTCGCATTGCGCACCGGGGGGAGGCGAGGCCTGGTTTCGGGTCGAAGGGGAAGAGGTCCTGAAGGGGCAGCGGGCGCTGGTGGAATTCCTCTGCGAGGAGGACGAGGACTTTGAGGCGGAAGGCGGGAGCGACGCATCCCTCGCCCTGGGGGCCGTGGCCGACAGGGTCGGCAAGCGGCTGGCCCCCCTGCTGGCCGACAAGGGAGGACCGGCGATGGGCAGGGAAGAACGGTCCCTGGCGATTGCCCGAAAGACCGTCCTCCTGGCCTCGGCGCCCGGGACCACCGGTGGGAGCAAGGCGTGGAGGGACGTCCGAGACCGCCGGTTCCGGCCGGACGCCTCGAAGATCGCCTTTTGCGTCCTGAGGGACCTCTTTTCGAAGTACCCGTCCTACGCCTGGTCGGACCTGTCGGAGCAGTGGTCGTCGCGGCTGCCCCTGGGGGAACGCTACGAACGGATCACGTCCACCACCGAGTGGATCGAGGACCCCGACCTGGGCGGCCACGGGGGGCTGGTCCCGGACCAGCTGGTCTTTTCTCCGTCGGCCGCGGGGGATGCCGGCGGCGGGGAAGGGGCCGACCGAACCACGGGCAAGAAGGGCAGCGGCGCGGGCAACAATCCCAAGGGCGTCCTGGGCCTGGTGGACCCGCACGCCGTCCTGGTGTGGAGGGGCGGGTAGGCAGGCAGGCCGGGACCGGGCAGCACAAAGGCCCGGGAAACCAGCCAGCGGTGGTTCGTTGTTTGTTTGGAACCCGCTGCTGCTGCTGCTGTTGGTTGGAACCGAACAGCTGCCTGTGGGTTTGGAGCGATACCCCCACGGCCAATGGTGCCGGCGATCGGTGCCGTGCTTTGCAGCGCATTGTAACGATAACGAACGAATGCTATTTTCGAACAGTGATCTCTATTCGTTAGTTTGTAGTAGTTAGTTATTGTGTTATGCAAGTTGTCTTTTCAATGACAAGGCCGCGCTATTTGGGTGCGGCATTCAACAACTTCCCTGGCCGTGCCTCTGCGATGCATCTGGATTCTGGGTCACCAAAGGAATCCCATCCACTCGATCCGTTTTGTTGCTATCTTCCTCGGACGACGTCGACGAGAACTGCAGCAGGCTGTACTTGTTCGAACTCTGCCGACCGCTCTCGTCCCCGCTGCTCCTACTGCTGCAGCTGCGGCTGCCGACCGATGCGGGTTCCCGGCGCTTCGGAGGCGGTGGCACCGAGCCCTCGGATGCAGCGGCGGAGCCACTGCCGCTGCCGCGCTCCGGTGCGGCATCCTTCGTCGTTGCGCGCACCGGGACCGGTGCCGGTGCGATGCCCGTGCCTTTCCCGGAGCCGTCCCTTCCGCCGCGCCGGTCGTCCGCACCGATCGGTGTGGGTCTGCTGCCATCGCCGGGACCCGCTTCGTGCCGGTCGCAATCCGTCCGTGCGCCTTGTTCGATTCCACCGCAATCCAGCTCGGTCTTTCTTCCTTCGTTCCGTTCCGACCCGCCGGTACCGTCGGTTTTGCTGTCGAGTGTTGCTCTTGGAACCTTCTCTCCTCGTAGTTTCGGACCGGATGGATTCGATGACGGGACAGAACCACTGTCCAAAGAACTCGAAGACGTGGAAATGGATTTGCCGGCATTGTCGCCCTCGTCCAAGTCGGTCGTTAGAGTACTGACACAGTCACTGCTAAAGGTGGTCGCCTCAAGCAAAGCAGGTACCAGCGAGGGTTCTCTTTTGCATCGTTGTGCTGTGTTGTTTCTTAACAAACGATGCTGACTGGCCATTTGGCTCGGATCCTTGTTGTGTTGCTGGAAATTCGGAAAGATATGCGTCGAAGGATTATTGCAATACGTGCCATCAAGTGCTGTTTTTAGAGAAAGTAATGATGAATTGAAGCAGTCCAATTGCGTAAAATCATCGTTCGAAGAAGGAGTGGACATCCAATCCGCTCCTTTGGTCTGAATCAAAGCCTCGTGCTCGGTGCTTTGCACCTTCTTGACGCTGTCGTTTGGAACTTGCTCCGTAGTCTTCGAATTGCTGAACGAAAGGCCGGGATTTTCCTCTGTAGACGAATGCTTATCCGACAGAGATGGTTTCGATTCAACGTGTAAGGATTCATCAGTCTTCGTTTGGTGTCGACCATCCTTTTCGTTTGAATGTCTTTCCCAATAGAACGTTTTTTCGCTGTTTTCGCTTTTCTGGTCGACTCCTATGTGCTCGGGGTCGGTAAATGACTTTGTCGTTGTATTTATAACAGGATCTTTCGAAATCTTGAGTTTCTTTGAAACAACCAAGTTATAGCTTCCAGAGCTCGATGAACTTGTTGAATTGCGTTCCTCTTCCTCGCGAATCACCCGAGGTATATCTACCTGTATCATCTTTTGAGAAACTTTTTTCTTTCTATACCTTCTAGATTTCTTCTTTCTTTTGGGTCTTAGTGTGCTTCGCGGTAAAGCAGTAGATGAATGCTCTTCCATCATGTTGATTGAATGAAGATCAGCTAAAATTTCATCGTTTGCCAGCTTGAAGGGATTGTCTTCCAAAGGTACTTCAATTTCTTCCAATGGTTCGAAATGATCATCGTCACTCGTCTTTGAGCCTTCGATATCAATCTCTGAACTTTTTTTTTTCAATTGCGTCTCTTTTATACCAACATGTGGAACTAAATTTACATCGTCAATTGGAACATTGGCGTCGTTCGATAATAATGGTGGAGGTGGTACGGTATTTTTGTTCGTGGTGGTACTGATGCTGGTGTTGACGATGATGTTGACTCCTTTGATCTCAACTTCTCGACAGATTTTTGGTTGCCGGATGAAATACAAATTTCTTCAGAATCGATGCGCTCTTCCGGGTCTGACAGTTTCGTGTGAAGCGATTTGTCTTGCGAATAGCTATCATGCTGCCCTAAACTTTCATTAGTGGTAGGACGATTAGCAATGTCCGAGTTATTTCGAGCGAGTGTATGCACTGCAGCAATATCTGACGCCGAAGAAGTAGTCACGGTGGGAGCCAATGACGAAAATACACCGTTTGATTTCCTTTCTAGATGTGCAACGTCATCGCTCAGCGTTTGCCCTTCGTCGTCATTCCGTTCGTCTTCATTTTGTGAGTAGGGAAGAAATGTCGAGACATAACTACACATGTTCTCCATTTGTGGCTCGAATGAGTCGTTCTTGGTTAGTGTCGCATCGCCATTGATCAAATTCTGGTTGTCAGAGTCGGATGACGTTTCGACTTCCTGTATCTCTCTGTTTTCAATGTAGTTTCCACTCTCGATATCTTCTTCTATATCATTGAAATGGCTCGACTCCGAACAATTGTCAACGCTATGTTCCTCTAGTGGCCCTTTTGGAATCTTAGTATTTTGAGGAATTGATTTGACAAGATCGCAGTTGTGGTAAGTATTGTTTGACGTATCGATCACGTCACCGTCTATTGTAACAGTAAATCCTTCCTCTTCGTCTCTTTCTTCTTCTCTACTTGAATTGTTGCCTGAATAATAACTTTCATCAGTAGAATAGTCCTGAATGTTGTCTTGACTATGTGAGTTTTTCTCATAACAGTAATTGTCATCGTCTTCGTCGTAGGCGAACAGCGTAAAGATCAAATTGTGTGCGAAAAATATAGTCATCAACGCTGCGTATTCAAAAGCGAGTGGTGACACTCTATGAGCAACACTTTCTTCCAATATTTCCCCATCATTAGCTTTGTTCAACAGAACCCTCAACAACCATAGAATACMAACTATTAATTGAGCAACAATCATTCCTGCAGCACAGAGTGAGTTTGGAAGTCCCATCACAAATATAGTGTTTTCTTTCGCCATGTCTCCCCAAACACATGCCAAGCAGACCAAAAACATGAAATAAGATGCGCTCCAAAATTCTCGTCCAATTTCCACAAGGTCAAAAAGAAAAGGAACTTGGGACGGATCATTTGCATATTCGTCGCTAATGGTGCCAATAAAAACAGTCTCGCCGTAAGTTGTTGCCATCACTGATATAGAGACGACAAAGATGGCTGCCAGAATGTTCAGCATTGCAAATATCTTCAATTTCGTTTTACCTCGGTTCGTAGTGAGATGAGATAAAAATGCCAAAAACAATGATGACAAAGCCATTTGCATGTAGAGAATTGCTGTAAGTACGTAGTACATTCTCATTCCACTTCCATCATTGATCCCGCTGTTCCCAAAAGATTTATGTATCAAGCCGTTGATGACAAGGGCAAGAGAGATACAGGCCAAAGCGAGACCACMAAATAATGTGGCGAATAGTTTTGGATTCTCGTCCTCATATCGATTTGATCGATTGGAAATCAATAAATGAAGAGAAAGTAGTCCTGCGATCCCAGCGTTGAAGAAGTGCGTCGACCACACCCAAACCGAGTTATTCACTCCCTCTGTCCCGCATTCTGTGTCGTTTCCTAGCAAACAATTTGGGAGTTGGGTAGTAATCACCACATAAAAAATTACGTAGAACAACGTCAATGTAACCGCGCCATATGGGAAGCAACAAATCATTGGATTTTATGTCTCTTTTAAATGAAGAAAGAAGGAAAAGCAACCGATGGAACGAGACCAGAAAATAGAGTAGATCGATTTGAGCCAACGCAGCGAAAAGACTTCAATTAATCGATCAAATAGCTAAAAAGCAGTCAATCAACCGTGCAGTTAGCGGCATTGCATAATGCATCGAACAAAATGATCGATTTGATCACTGATCATTTGAGTCATTGTTCAACATCTAATCAAATTGTTTCATGAGATGAAAGAAGGTCATGAAGTGAGCAATTCAAAACGTTTTTTATCTTTTAAGCGATCGTAAGAAGAAAAAGTGAGCTAAACATGCCCCAATAAAAAATGGCGATTTTTGAAAAGCCCTCAACGGAACTGAGGCTGCATCGATACTTAGTACGGGCCCCATCATGGCAAGTTACTGTATTGGCATATCTCGTACAAACACTGACGGAAATTTTTGCTCATTTTTACAGTTAAAAACCAGTGGAAAGAACCATCCAACGGACAAAAATAAAAATATCTTCCGTCCCGAAATATTTCTTTTAGGGGTCCTTACTGCTGGAGGGGTAGTTTCATTGCTTCCTACTTGAAAATTACAAGTGCTTACTACTGGATAACCTCTATAACTACTTACAAGTAAGGATGTTATAGTAGTGAGCACTGTGAACTGATGTGTAAGGCTGTTGTGTTGGTGCTGCTGCTCCCTCCTCCTCCTCCAAATTTACTACTGAAACTGGTGTGGGTGCATGAGTGTTTGCCTCCTAATTCATAATTACAAAAGTTATTTTTCACATTTGGTATTTCTATCTGTCATTTCTTCTTGTTGAGTTTTTGGCACAATTTGATTATCTACAAGCTAGTACTACTAGTATTACATCATTGTCAAACAACAATCAACAAGAAAGGATCTTTGTTATCTTTGTTGTCTCCAAACAGTAGACAGTACTTGCTTGTGATAGTTCTTACATATTGAACTGCTACTACTTTGGCCATAATTCTCTTTGTTTGATATCATGGTGTGCTACTACTTTGGCCATAATTCTCTTCATTTGATATCATGGTGTGAGGATGGGAATGCTGCTTTGATGAATGCAACTGAAGCAGCCAAATCAATATTTACTAAGACAGGGCAGTGATACAGTTCTTTGTTTTTCTACTATTGTAACAGGATGTTTCAAAAGTGTTCTATCTGAATAGTTTTTCATGTTATCTATTCTAATTTGCTTATGAACATGTTCTTCCATTCCAGTGTTAAATGTTGTTGCACTTTATGTCCACATATTTCAGAGCTTTAAAACGATTTAAGTCAGTGGGGAAGGAAGTCAATTCATTCGAACTTAGGTCTAGCCTTCTCAGCTTTGTCATGATCTTTGTATTTGCTGAAATGTTAACCTTTGCAAGTTTATTGCCACTTAGATTGAGTTCTTCGAGCTCTAAAAGACCCAAAAGCATCGTCTTGAAATAAATTAAAGCAGCAGAAGGCAAATCACGCATATGAATATACATTGGTTAGCCACCAGTATAGTTTTGTTTTACATTTGACTTTTTTTGGCAATCATTCACTCACCTCTTCAGGGAAATCAATCAAAAGATTATGAGAAAGATTCAATCTTTTCAACATGGGAAGATTCCATCTTTTGGGAAGTTTATAGATGAAGCAATGGGAAAGATTCATGGACCTCAAGTTTGGTAGGCAGTAGACAAGACTTTTGGGTATCGTTTCAAACATATTATGTGCCAACGACAGAGATTGTAAGTGGCGTCCAAATTTCGGATCGTTCAGATCTTTTACCGGGATCTGACACTCTGTCAGATTGAGATTTTCAAGGCTGAGAAAACTCTTCCTGAAAAACACTCTTTTCATTTTTGCTTCGCATCGGGCTAGTTTCAAATTCATAATGCCATCGCACTCCTTCGACGATTTTGTTCCAGTTTTGTTTTGTCCTGGTTCAATCACTGTACTCGACGTTGAAGAACTGGTCATGATATTTGCATGACTGTCAGGCGAAGAAGCTTCTCTCTTGCTTTTAGAAGAACAAATACGGGAAGAGTCTCCTTTTGTCTCGATTTGATTTGAACAGTTGTCAATTATAGCTGGGGTCGAAAGACTTTCATCAAGTGGCATATTTTTTGAACTACGAAAAGAATATCGTTTTGCCGATGAGGCGGTTGAGGTTAAGATTGAGCCGGATGTTGACGTTGACAATTTTCGAGACGATAGCCGTGGCTTCAAGGTAGAGGCAATGCCGTCGGATGTCGATAACGATCGCTTCCCTGTAGTGTCACATTTTCCCAAACTCTGCTCGATGTCCCCCACGAGCTGGCAATATAAAAACCCATCCAACCTCATTTCGATACGATGTCCATGCCTGCAACGTATAAAAGCCTCTTTATCATTCATAGCGGATCGAATTTTGCCAAATGTCCAAGTCCCAATCTCGCTTACAGGCTTCTTTCGTAGACATTCAGGACAAATTGCACCCTCTCTGTACTCGATTTGCATTTCATCTAAGGCCTTTTGTACCGCCAGTCGTAAACTAGAGCACGTATGCATCCAAATCTTGCAATTTTCATCGTGGTGCCCTCGAAAGTAAGTCGCTAGTATAGTTTCACATGTAGTCATACGAGAGCATGTGTCGCCTGTTGCCCCTTCTAATATCAAACTATTTATTTCAACCGTTTGTACCTTATTCTTGTCACCAATATCAACCTCTAGCTTCAATCTAAAGGAATCTTTCCAACAGTAAATCTCTTTAGCAAAAATTTTGTTACCATCATTTGCATTCAAGATGTCGCTCAACGACTTAATCGTGTGAACAATAATCCGTTCCATCAGCGATTGGGGAGCGGTATCATCGAAAATAAGCCCATGGTACGCAGCGTTTGATTCTGCAAAATCCGCATATACCTTCGACTTCTCACAGTTTTCATCAATAGGCATCAATATTGATGACGACGAGGATGATAGTGCTCCCGAAAGCGAGTTTTGTGATGAGATCCTTGTCTTGAAGTCAGACCCAACCTTATGTCCAAGTAGGCCAGGCAGAAAGAAATGTCTCGAATCGGACTTCTGATAAGATAAAGGTATGAAGACTTCATGTCGTACAAGTAAACATTGAATGAATTCAAAAACTTTATCTGCAAGGTTGATGTCGTTCTTGACATTCTCGCTACAGAATTGGAATTGAAAATACTGTTCTGCAAACCTCAAACCTTGTTTTGTGCTAAGTCTGTTCTTCCACAAAGAGCGCACTTTTTCTTTCTCTATTGTCGGGCAATTCGTCAATCTCTGCCGCTTCAATGAATTTGAAGATTCGATGGTAGCGTTACTGAAGCTTGTAATCTTTTCGACGAACTCTCTCGCATATTGAAGAATGAAATCTATGGACTCAACCAGCCATGTTGGATCTAGGACCACAAAGTCGGATAAAACTTGTAAGTCGTAACCTCTACACATTTTGCTTGGCGACGAGCTATTACTTCCAAAGTAACAAAGTTCTCCCAAGCAATGCATTGAATTGAGGGCTGGAAAAACGTAATTGTCATTGTAGCAATTTTCGTCTATAGAATATTCAGAATCTGTTGGGACCGAACGAAGCGAAAGATCTCCCATAGAACATTTCTTTGTCAGATACTCGGTTTGTAGTATCTTAGAACGACCCGCCATTTTTTGACAAGTACCACGGAGCATATCTGTTGCTAGTGACAATGACAGAGATGACGATTCACTATACCCTATGTTTTCGTCATCATCAAGTGTCTCTCTCGTGGAAGCTATCATGCATGCAATACGAATGACAAATTCGCGAACAGTACCAAGGTCCACTCCCTCCTTGCTGTCGCGTTCCTTTTTCGAATGCAGCCCAAGAGACATGTCATCGTCATCATCTTTTTTGTCTTCACTCGAGTGAAAACCAACTGATATTGCATGGGGCAGAACCTGGCCATCCTTTTGAACGTTGCCAAAGTGGAAGATGGGCCTAGGAACACTTTCAACACTGGAAGTACTTCTTTCGCTGTCATTGCGACTACAGCGAATCCGCTCATAAGCCTCGACTTTTCTAGCTTCGTTGAAAGCGATTCTTTCTTTTAGAAGACGACATCTATTTTTTATTTCTTTCCTTTCGAGGTCTTCTGTACAAAATTCAGCAGCATATGTGCCCATGCTTGTTGTTCTTTCTTCGCCATCTTTGCTGTTAGGATGATTATGTGGCATGAAACAATCCATATGGGTCGCTATAGGTAAAATTGTTGCTCCAGGTGTTATGGCCTGAATTCGATCGATCCAAGATTGCACTTTTTTGTCTATGTCTCTTTCCAGCATTCTTCTTGTTCTACGGAGCTCTTTCTGGTTAAACGTGTCGATGTCATCATAATCTGAATTGTCCGAATCCTCATCATATCCGAGTTGGAAGGCATTTGCATCCGACGGCAAAGGGCGTGTGCAATCATTGCGACAAGTGTTGTTATCGTGAATTCCATTATTTCTGTCGTTTGGAGTAAGAACTACAGGTGTCGAACTCGCTGTGGCAAATTCACACTTCGTGGGCGCAACGCTTTTAGCAGCCATGTCCCAAACAACGATGTAAAGCGTCTGTGGTGTGAAGAACATTTTTTGAATTTCACAAAGATTTTCTGATTTGCCCATAAAGTCCCAGATCGACAATGCCTGGATGGTTTCGTTGCTGCTGCTGAAGCTGTCGCTATACTCTGGACTTGCAATATAGGATGCATCGTCGGACAAAGAAAGATCCAATTGATAAATATCCAACCCGACTTCCGGATTTTGAACGGAACCTGTTGATATCATTTCCGGCAGCCCTTCTGGATGCCGCCATCTAGAGTTGTAAAGATGCGGCTTCGATGGAAGCGAGAATGAAGAAGAAGAAGACGAAGCGTTTGGTGTGACTTCATCAATGGGAATACCGAGTTCATCCGCAACAAGTCGTCGCACGAATGATGTCTTGCCGACACCTTCATCCCCCACAATGACCACCTTCAATGAAGTCGTCGAAGACGTCGACGATAAGTTCAGCGAAGAAGACAGCAACGATGAATACGAATCTGGTGTCATAATAGTCACAACGTCGTACTTGGCTTCACAACCAGCTATATCTGTTTCTCATATCTCGTTTTGTTTTCAGACTGAATGATCTGATATGATTGTTCTCCACCTGCATTTAATGTCCCACTTTTCATTGAACTCAGCGACGTTATTTGTACAGAGTCAGAGCATCTGGTGGAAAAATTAGAAGGGAAAAACGAATCCTATCTTCGATGCACCAAAAACGGATATGTTTACTGTAATGCGGGATCTGGTGGCCTTGACACAAATTTCAGTTAAAGTTCGAAAAATTAAAACTCTCAAGAACAAGAATGAATTAAGAGGATTGATGATGACTAACAAAATTGCCTCATAACGTGCACAAGTTGCGTCAATTTCAGTACGGTTGTAGTACGGTACGTACCCATTCACAACTAAACTCACATTATTTTATTACAGAATCCGATTACAACAAGACGTAGGCAGTGCTGAACTGTAATTACTTCTACGACGTACATACTTGTTTATTCCTACCGGTAGGAAACAATACCAAGATCTGATTTTTTTCTCGAGAATAAAAATGAATTTCCAAGAGCATCCTCACTTACGTTGTTACCTGCTCCGTGATCCACTATGTTTCTTAAATCATTCTATTACAGTACGCGTAAACTGGAAAAATTGTTCCTAGATTTTCTTTCCTGTATAAAAATAAATGAAGCACGTATCTCTTTCGGAGGCAATAATTAATTTGTGTCGTCTTCGACATTTTTCCCTCTGTGTACTTTCGTAGATATTATTTCATAGCCCATCTATTTCACAGAGAGAAAATTCTTACGACTAGTCGCGGTGGCATGCAGGAGCAGCGTTGAAACCTGATTTCTGGATGTGCGTTACAGTCTTGAATACTACAGTAGAAGTACTTTGTAGCACCGTACGAAGCAGTTTGTCTTAATGCAATGGTACAATATAATTAATGTACGCCGGTTTATTTCATTGAACGATGATAAGCCCCAAGGATTAATTAGTGAATGGTGTGGTACTAAGAGGAAGCTTCATTAAAGATAATTCGGCATGAGCATCAACGAAAAATAATTGTACCGTACCGCACCTACCGATACGAATGCAACTGAACGTCGATACCGGTTACCACTCGTCAATTCGACAATAATCGTCATTACTGTAGTAGAACTACTCCTAGTACGTACTCCTTCGCTCCGAACCAGAATAGGTTCTTGTCCGAAGTGCACCTTTGTTCTTGTTGCTGTTGAAATAAGCTTCATCTTTGAGCGATTTTACCTACTAGTGTAAAAAGAAGAACAGTAATTCTTCTTCTACTAGTTGTTCTTCTTTGTCACACAAACCGATATAATGGTTTCTCAAGTTTCCCGTGTGGACAAAAACAAAATCCAAAATCCCAGTGTTCTTTCATGCTCCAATATGAATCTCACTACCCTTCTTCTCCCTGGAACATGTTCTCACACCCTTCATTTCTCAGCACTAATTTCACGCCCTTTTCTGGGGTTGGTACTGGTGCTTTCTATTCCAGAATAACATTGTTCCAATATGTTCTTTCTTATAGTAGTAATTTCTCAAAGAATCGAAGCCAATCTAGTACTATTGGTTTCCCTTTTGGTGTTGCCAACATTCTTCCACGGAGAAAGAAACTAGTAGTACTCCACTCTTATTGATTCTGATCCAAGGTTTCCTTTTCTTAGTTTTGCACTTTCTAATTTTCAATGACGTTCAATGAATATCTTCAAGAAACCAATTTCCGTTGTATCCCTTCTGTATTATCATACCAACAAATGTTGGTGAATGATATATGCCAAGCAATAAGAGGATAGAGTTCTGTAATGAACTTCAAAATGAACACCTAGTACTACTAGCAGCAACTGCCATGGTCAGACAATACTAGCTAGGCATCAGCAATACGACATTAAATACTTATAAACAAAATATACCAAGAACCTACTAGTACTACTACTACTATGATCCAGAACAAAACATGGTCATTCTCATCTAGTAATCTCTCCAGAGCAGCAATGAAATATCTAAACCTACAGCACCAATGCTACTATGACGCATTTTCGCCCCCTCAGAAGCCCTTCAAGTTGTCAAAGGGACTCAACAAACCCCTCATAAAAATATAGATGGATCTAGGGTAGTAAATTGCAGGTTGTTTACGTCACACAAACCTGTACTATGGTTTTTTTTTCCTGGGTACATGAAATAAAATTCGCACGCGTATTTTGTGATGCTCGCACGCAATTATCTGGTCGTTTTCCTTGGAACATGTTATCGTACCACTCATTTCTCATGTGGAGTTCGATGCCCTTTCTCATGCTCAAAATTAATTCTTTTTCATAGAAAATATTATCGTATACGGAGACGAATTGCTCAACCATTTCAAAAGTATCTCAACCATTCAAAAAATACCATGTGTCGTCACGAAAATATTTTTGCCACTTCATCAATTCCTCAGGTCGGTTTTCAATTCCTCTTTCCTTCTGCCAACTCTTCGGAGCTCAGCGACAATTTCTCTATTTCCGTCRACAAATTTATTTTACAATGAAGCTATTTTACTATGTAACAGCAAAGGATTAATTTCTAAATGTTTCGTGCCGCTATCGTTTGTTATTTTCGTATCCACCGCGTTTCGTCATGACTACTAAGGCCGGGGTTCTCATACARCCCGTATCTTTGACTTCAGCTCATTTAAGTCATCATTGTCCTCCCAGTATTTTTTCTGATCAAAATTTTTCTCCATTTTGCGCAAGTTTCTTTTTTTATTAATTCTATCGTCCCTGTGTCTCCGTTTTCTCTTCTGTATGCCGCCCTTAGTTCTTGTTCAATCTC